TTTTCGGATCTTTGAGGATATGATGTGATGGAGAAGGAAATAGGGGGAGATGTGGGAGTAGCCACGTTAAGAGCGTTGATGAACAACCAATTTGAAAGCGCTTGAAGATTTTAAAAAGAATAATGGCAAATTTGCACAATCCAGGTGGGGAAGCTTTTATAGACTTACCAGAAACTCACCTGTAATTATGACGCAATCGAATGCTGTAATTTCATGGGGGCTGTTTGTCTTTAGTGTTTCGATCGCCACCTCCGTTTTCAGGATATTTGAAGGATATGAGGATGGATGGAGAGAGGGAAGAGATAGGGGGTGGAGGATAGTGGGGGCAGGTAGCCTAGCGGTTAAGAGCGTTGATGAACAACCAATTTGACAGCGCTTGAAGAATTTTTAAAAGAATAATGGGCAAATGTTGCACAATCCAGGTGTGGAAAGCTTTTATAGACTTACCCAGAAAGACTCACAGCTGTAATTATTGACGCAGGGGTGTGAATACTTATGTAAATTAGATATTTCTGTATTTCATTTACAATAAATTAGCAAAGATTTCTAAAAACATGTTTTCACTTTGTCATTACGGGATATTAAGTGTAGATGGGTGAGAAAAAACACATATTTAATCAATTTTGAATTCAGGCTATAACACAACAAAATGTGGAATAAGTCCAGGGGTATGAATACTTTCTGAAGGCACTGTAACCCTAATTGCTCCTGTAAGTCGCTCTGGATAAGAGCGTCTGCTAAATGACTCAAATGTAAATGTTTAAAAAAGCGATTGCAGGAAAGGGGAAAAGAGTGAAGGAATGATGAGGACTAAAGGAGTGTTTTGTTTATTCACAAAGCGTACTGGAGTCAAAGAGAAGGTTACATTGTGCAGCTGTGTAAAATCAATAACAGTGCCTCACTTCCAAAGATGATTTCTTCCCCTGCGCTTCATCGAACTGCACACACACACACACACACAGCTACCCCAACACTCACACCCACCCACACACACTCCTAATATGCACAGCCAGGTATTTCAAGATTTACATCGAAATTGGATACCTATCCATGTCCTGAGGATGTCGGGAAATGGCTTCAAAACTGGCCACTAGGGGCAACCGTGGCTTGGGTTTTGACCGGGTGGTGGATAGGCGTAATCCCATGACTCTGGATCAGAAGGTTGCGTGTTCGATCCCAGTCATGGACACTGGTTTTAACCCTATCCCACACCCTAACCCTTACCTTAATAATTCGGAATGAGTGCCTAAACTTCACCCTTAACTGATACAGAGCAGCAGGAGCAACAAAACAAACTTAGAAATGTGACGTTTGGAGAACGGGGATGAACGTCTAATTCTGCAGAGAGACTGTGAGAGCTTGTTGAATATGCAGAAACTGTGTATGATTGAAGGCAAAAACCAACACACACCCTTCAGTTCTACTCAGACAATCAAGGTAGCGTCTCAACAGGTGGAAAACAAGGACCAGGTAGAAACATTAAAATAGCAGGAAGGAAGTCTGATTATGCAACCTCTGATTGGAGGAGATACTCAAATGTGTAGACACAAAATCAAGGGATGGGATGCTCTCTGACTTGAGATAGAGAAATATGATAGAAAGAGAGTGCGAGAGAGAGAGAGAGAGAGAAAGAGAGAGAGAGAAAGAGAGAGAGAGAGAGAGAGAGAGAGAGAGAGAGAGAGAGAGAGAGAGAGAGAGAGAGAGAGAGAGAGAGAGAGAGAGAGAGAGAGAGAGAGAGAGGACAGGCACTGTGGAGTTTCCTTAGTGCCAGACTGAGTTTGTAGATTAGAAGCCAGTTGATCCACTGCTATCTCTGTCCATTCTCTACCTCCTCATGATCACACAGTAAGTCTGCATCCCAAATGACACCCTATTCCCTATAAAGTGCAACATTTTTGACCAGGGACATATAGGGCCCATAGGGCTTTGGTCAAAAGTAGTGCACTATGTAGGGAATAGGGTGCCATTTGAGACGCATCCTAAGCCCTCTCTCTCCTTAAAACCTTCAAAAATAAAAACGTTCAAAAAAAAGAAAGGAGAGTAACTAGAACAGGAAGAGATAGGGACATGAATAATTAAAAAGACACAGTAACACACAAAGGAGAGAGGTGAAAATGAGGACAGGAAGATGTCAAACAGAAAGAAGAAGAGAGTTGAGAGAGTGATAAAGGTGTGTCACAGAATAAGGTTCTGTATGTTTGTGCAGTCAAGTATAATAATGTTAGTGTTAGGAAAGAACTAACGATTAGACCTCAATGTCAGTGTGACGAGGTGTGAATGAAGGAGTCAGGCGCAGGAGGTAAAATACCGAAGTCCAGAGTTTATTCCGTTTCCTATTACAAGGGAAAACATCCACCTTGGCATAAACACAGTGAATAGTAGAACAACCGAGCTACACGCTCTCACAACAAACAATCACTCACAAAGACAAGGGGAACAGAGGGAACACTTATACACATACTAATTAGGGGAATGAGCACCAGGTGTGTGTGATTGACAAGACATAACAAGTGGAGTGATGAGAATGGGATCGACAGTAGCTAGTACTCCGGTGACGACGAACGCCGAAGCCTGCCCAAACAAGGAGGGGGGGCAGCCTCGGCGGAAGTCGTGACAGTACCCCCCCTGAAGCGCAGCTCCAGCAGTGCGCCGACCCCGGCCTCGGGGACGGCCAGGAGGACGCGGAGCAGGGCGAGTCGGATGGCGACGGTGGAAATCCCTCAACAGGGAGGGATTGAGAATGTCCCGCCTTGGGACCCAGCACCATTCCTCCGGACCGTACCCCTCCCACTCCACGAGATACTGAAGGTCCCCCACCCGACGCCTCGAATCCAGGATGGAACGGACCGAGTATGCTGGGGCCCCCTCAATGTCCAGAGGAGGTGGAGGAACCTCCCGTACCTCAGACTCCTGGTGGCGTGCCCGAGTGTTGGGATAAGACAGCTCCTATCCCTACCTCGGACGCATCCACCTCCACTACGAACGGTAGTGATGGATTGGGGTGGCCAAATCAGCCTCAGCAGACCAGCGGAGCTGGGACGGCCCATCCTTCAATAAGGAGGTAATGGGAGCTGCGACCTTGCCAAAGCCCTGAATAAACCTTCGATATTAGTTGGCAAAGCCAAGGAAGCGCTGCACCTCCTTTACCATGGTTGGAGTCGGCCAATTACGCACGGCTGCAATGCGGTCTCCCTCCATCTCCACACCTGTGGTGGTAATGCGATATCCGAGGAAGGAGATTGACTGCTGGAAAAACTCACACTTCTCTGCCTTGGCATAAAGATCATTTTCCAGCAGTTGGACCAGTACCTTGCGAACCAGGGACACATGCTCAGCGCGCGTAGCGGAATACACCAGAATGTAATCGATGTAGACCACCACACTGCGACCAAGCATGTCCCGAAACACCTCATTCACAAAGGACTGGAAACGGATGGAGCATTCATCAAACCGTAGGGCATCACCAGGTATTCATAATGTCCCGAGGTTGTGCTGAATGCTGTTTTCCACTCATCCCCATCCCGAATACGCACCAGGTTGTAGGCACTCCTGAGGTCTAATTTGGTGAAAAAGTGGGCCCCGTGCATTGACTCAATCACTGAAGGAATGAGGGGAAGAGGATAACTAAATCGTACCGTCACATTATTCAGTGGTCGATAATCAATGCACGGGCGCAAACCGCCATCTTTTTTCTTCACAAAGAAGAAACTCGAGGAGGCAGGTGAAGTGGAGGGACGTATATACCCATGGCGCAGGGACTCGTGACGTATGTTTCCATAGCCTCCGTTTCAGCCTGCGACAGGGGATACACATGACTCCTGGGAGGTACAGCGTCTACCCGAAGGTTTATCGCGCAATCCCCCGCCCGATGAGGTGGTAATTTAGTCGCTTGCGTCTTTGGAAACGCGAGCGCCATATCATGGTATTCGGGGGGAATGCGCACGGTGGGGGTACCGTCTGGACTTTCCACCGTGGTCGCACCAACGGAAACACCTAGACACCTACCCGGACACTCACGCGACCACCCCGTAAGAACCCTCTGCGGCCATGAGAAATTGGGGTTGTGAAGGGATAACCACGGGATACCCAAGACTACAGGGTAAGCAGGAGACTCAATAATCATAAAGGTGATCTGCTCAACATGCGTCTCCTGCGTAATCATGGTGACTGGTACTGTAACTTCCTTAACCAACCCGAACCATAATGGTCGACTATCAAGTGCTCTGATGGGGAGTGGAATGGTTAGGGGAACCAATGAAATGCCTTGACGGCGTGCAAATGCCCTGTCCATAGAATTCCCAGCTGCGCCTGAATCGACTAGCGCCTTACACTGGGAACCTACCAGCCTTACACTGGGAACCTACCAGCCTTACACTGGGAACCTACCAGCCTTACACTGGGAACCTACCAAGTGATCGGGAAAGGAGATAGATAAAGTACAGTGCGCCGCAAAGGGCTCTGAACACGTTTGGGTGTTCGTTACCTGGGGTGATGCGTGAGTACCAGGTGAGTGATTCTGTGACGAGGTGTGAATGAAGGAGTCAGGCGCAGGAGGTAAAATACCGAAGTCCAGAGTTTATTCCGTTTACATAAATCAAACGCCCCAAGCGTCAAACGAAACTATTACAAGGGAAAACATCCACCTTGGCATAAACACAGTGAATAGTAGCTCAACCGAGCTACACGCTCTCACAACAAACAATCACTCACAAAGACAAGGGGAACAGAGGGAACACTTATACACATACTAATTAGGGGAATGAGCACCAGGATTGTGATTGACAAGACATGACAAGTGGAGTGATGAGAATGGGATCGGCAGTAGCTAGTACTCCGGTGACGACGAACGCCGAAGCCTGCCCGAACCAGGAGGGGGGGCAGCCTCGGCGGAAGTCGTGACAGTCAGCCTCAGTGTGTGTGTGTGTGTGTGTGCGTCTGTCTGTCTGTGTGACTTTTGTTTAAGGGCAGAGGTGCAGAAATTCAATTCAACCTCACGCCTTATGTTGCAACATGCTGAAAATAAGATCAATGTGACTTGTAAAACACGGTGCAAGATGCCTTGGTTCTTCCATGTCAGTCAAGGCTCAAACCAGCAGCCCTGTCCAGCAACACACACTATCCCAACATCAGTAGCTTCACACTGGACACAGCTAACACTGCTGGACAGGGTTGACTCTGCACACGGTCCAGCTCGTCTTCACCCAGCCAGGCAGACTTTCTGTCAGTACCACAGGGTTCAGTGCCTCCCAGCTTGGAGAACCTATCTTGTACCTCTCTGAACTCAGCAGCAGGCAGAGAGCCCCTGCCACTCTCAATACATTCCCACGGGGGGCCAGTATGAAAAATGTATGCACTCACTAATTGGAAGTCGCTCTGGATAAGAGCGTCTGCTAAATGACTAAAATGTAAAAAAATGTTTTAAAAAATTACAGGTTAAGGATAGCCCACCAATTATCTTTGAGTGCCAACTGTGCCTCTGGACCCAATGGTTTGAGTCATGGAGTGAGAAGGAGAGGAACAGTTTCCTACACATTCTAGAAGAGAAGGACCCGATCTTTGTTGCCCGCTTCTACAGAGGTGTAGCTGGGACAGCAGGCAGGGATTGAGGGATACGGGAGAGGAGGGTGTAGAATGGATAGACATGAGTGGCTGGTAGACAGAAAGAAACAAGTAAAGTTGATGGAGTGGAGTACCTATAAAAGTATATGTGTGGAGACAGTGAAGAACGGGGCGGCAGGTAGTCTAGTGGTTAAGAGCGTTGGGCCAGTAACTGAATGCTCGCTGTTTCGAATTCCCAAGCTGACTGGGTGAAGAATCTGTTGATATGCCCTTGAGCAAGGCAATGAAATGGAAAATGTTTGGACTCGAACACTAGCCTTCCATTCTCACACAACGGAGTGTTTGGACACCACTGGAACTTCTGTGTAGTAGTTAAACCTCCACTAACCAATCACTTCCTTCAAGCCCCTTGGGACTGACGCATAAGTGGTCCTCTGTAGCTCAGCTGGTAGAGCACGGCGCTTGTAACGCCAAGGTAGTGGGTTCGATCCCCGTGACCACCCATACACTAAAATGTATGCACGCATGACTGTAAATCGCTTTGGATAAAAGTGTCTGCTAAATGGCATATTATTATTATTATATAACAAAGTGCTTTTTAATTCTTTGATTCACCCTGAATAACTCTGTAAAAAGATGCATTAACCTTCAAATAAACGCTGTTTAGGCATAATGTGACTGTCATTATTGGACCAAGTGGTTGGCATGTACTGTCTAGAGTCTAGACCTATGTGTCTACACATTAATTTCCAAAGAGACATACAGGTGGGAATATTCACACACATACAACATAGATACGTGTAGGTATGCACGCACTCTGGCACGCACACACACCATCCCCCTAAACATCAACCTCCGAACCCCTCATGACATCAGTATTCCCTATGTGTCTCACTGGCAGGTATAGGGCTCAGTTACATCGCAGCCCTTTCCTGAAGTCAAAAGACCTAGTGGCCTCATGGGGTAATTTCATAATTAATAAACAAGATTTCAAAAAAGCCGCCAAAAATCTGGTGTTTCTATGTCAAACGGTTTTGTTGTATTTCAGTCTTCTGTGATGTACATAAAGTGTAATATTGGGAAGCAAACTCAATATTGAATACATTTCAACTCTATACCTGACATGGTATAGATGTCTTCTTTTTTTAAAGCCCATAACCATGTGTGTGAGGTGTATACTTTTGTTTCAAAGTAGATTTGTTTAAGACTACCAAAAAACACTGTGTTACCCTGATTTAGCCCACTGCAGTAAAAGGTTAACGTTTTATTGGTCCTCAATGGTTGAATGATGTTCAATGGTTGAAGTGACAACTTTCATTAGATCTCTCAGTATCAGTGGTACTGACAGCTAATGTGTGACCCCTGACCTATGAGGTCACAGGTATCACATCATAGTCAGCATCCTCCATCTTTGTTTTGATCTGTCAGTCAAAATGTTCTTGTCTGTTTTAAAGGTTGTCATAATGGTACCTTTTATTTGTAAGGTCCTCATCCACATCTAATGAAATTGTTCTGCTCTCAAAAATACTAAGGTCAGATATAGAAGCAGAGTGCAAGCACACACACACACAAACACACACACACACACCAACACACACACACACAACACACAGACACAACACACACACACCACACACACACACACACACAACACACGCACACACACAAGTGCGCATGCACGCACGCGCTCTTTAGCGCGCGTGCGTGCATGCGCGCTTGTGTGTGCGTGTGTTGTGTGTGTGTGTGTGTGTGTGTGTGTGTTGTGTCTGTGTGTTGTGTGTGTGTGTGTTTGTGTGTGTGTGTGCTTGCACTCTGCTTCTATATCTGACCGTAGTATTTTTGAGAGCAGAACAAACGTTTCTCATAATTATCACTGTAAAAACAGCACAATTGGAAGAGAATTACAAAATACATTAATTTCCTGCAAGATTATTGCCTCAACTTCAAATAGCTAGAGCATTGTAATCTCAAAAACATTATTTTCCCTAAATAATTGGCCTCAAAAGCTATTTACCTTTTGAATTAATTCAAGGGAAAATAAAGATAGTATCTTTAATAGGGGTTACAGGTAGCCTAGCAGTTAAAGTGTTTGGACAGTAACCGAAAGGTCGCCTGGTTTGAATCCCCAACCAACTAGGTGAAAAATCAGGAGCAAGGCACTTAACCCTAATTGCTCCTGTAAGTCGCTCTGGATAAGAGCGTCTGCTAAATGACTAAAATCTAAATGAAATGTCTATCTGAAGTTGTAACATTGGGTGCAGTAAGTATGTTACATTATCATTGGGTTTTTCCTGGTAGTAATCATTGACATATAGGGGGTGGTAATAGTAGGAGTAAGAGGATACTGTTTTCTCTGTTCTTCCTCCCTATCACACACATGGAGTATAAGCAGGCAGTGTAAGCAGGCAGTGTAAGCAGGCAGTGTAAGCAGGCAGTGTAAGCAGGCAGTGTAAGCAGGCAGTGTAAGCAGGCAGAGTAAGCAGACAGTGTAAGCAGACAGTGTAAGCAGGCAGTGTAAGCAGGCAGTGTAAGCAGGCAGTGTAAGCAGGCAGTGTAAGCAGGCAGTGTAAGCAGGCAGTGTAAGCAGGCAGTGTAAGCAGGCAGTGTAAGCAGCCAGAGAATGAGACACAAAGAGAGAAGAGATAGTAAGGGACCGACACTAAATGTTCTGCTGGCCTCAATACGACTCCACTCAGGTGAATGCAAACAGCAAATGATCAACAAAGAAACACTGTTTTATCTGTAAAGTATTATTCTGACATCTACAATACATCTTGAAGTGATAGAGAATACATTAAGGGAAGAAGAAGAAGAAGAAGAAGAAGAAGAAGAAGAAGAAGAAGAAGAAGAAGCAAGTAAACATAAGAAACTATAAAATGTGTGCACTACAAAAACATAAAGTTATCTCTTGCATTCAGGGACATAAAAAAAAAAAGTGACATAAGTTAACCTTTTCCCCAAGGATACACTCTTTATTTTCTCTGACGATTGTTGGGTTGAATTGTCTATCTGTCTTCATGTCTGTATGTCTGTGTGTCTGTCTTTATGTATGTGGGTCTGTCTGTCTGTCTGTCTCTCTCCTCCCACCCACTCTCTCTCCTCCTCTCTTTGCTCCCACCCACTCTGTCTCCTCCCACCCACTCTCTCTCCTCCTCTCTCTCTCCTCCTCTCTCTGCTCCCACCCACTCTGTCTCCTCCCACCCACTCTATCTCCTCCTCTCTTTCTCCTCCTCTCTCTGCTCCCACCCACTCTGTCACCTCCCACCCACTCTCTCTCCTCCTCTCTCTCTCCTCCTCTCTCTCTCCCACTTTCTTCTGTCAGTCTCTCATATATGGTCTAATGCCCACTGGCCTGGCTCAGCCTATAACCATGTAGTGTAATGCCCACTGGCCTGGCTCAGCCTATAACCATGTAGTGTAATGCCCACTGGCCTGGCTCAGCCTATAACCATGTAGTGTAATGCCCACTGGCCTGGCTCAGCCTATAACCATGTAGTGTAATGCCCACTGGCCTGGCTCAGCCTATAACCATGTAGTGTAATGCCCACTGGCCTGGCTCAGCCTATAACCATGTAGTGTAATGCCCACTGGCCTGGCTCAGCCTATAACCATGTAGTGTAATGCCCACTGGCCTGGCTCAGCCTATAACCATGTAGTGTAATGCCCACTGGCCTGGCTCAGCCTATAACCATGTAGTGTAATGCCCACTGGCCTGGCTCAGCCTATAACCATGTAGTGTAATGCCCACTGGCCTGGCTCAGCCTATAACCATGTAGTGTAATGCCCACTGGCCTGGCTCAGCCTAATTTATTTTGGAACATGTTGTTTACAACTTTGGCCAATGACCCATCAGGGTATAAGACAAAACATGGGGGAAATGGGGTGAAATGTATTGTTCTGACTTTGCCACCTACTTTGAATAAGGAGGAGGAAAGTAAAACACTAGTGGACGAATCATGTGGTATATTTATTCATTGGGACAGATGTCTTGTTCCAGCACCAAGGGGGCTTCTTCAACAGAAATCAACACAAGCATCACATCTTCCTGGTCGTGAGATTCTTCGAGAATTCCCCTCATCATTGTGTAGCGTAGCCTATGACCCCTGCTGTGTCTGAGAAACATAGCGTCTGTAAATCTGATATGAGAGACATATAATGTTTGTAATAATATGTCTGACATTTAGTAATGTTTTACTCTCAACCCTGGTTCTCCTCAGACTTGACTGCCCTTGACCAGCACAAAAACATCATGTGGCATACTGCATTAGCATCGAATAGCCCCCGCGATATGCAACTTTTCAGGGAAGTTAGGAACCAATATATACAAGCAGTTAGGAAAGCAAAGGCTAGCTTTTTCAAACAGAAATGTGCATCTTGTAGCACTAACTCCAAAAAGTTTTGGGACACTGTAAAGTCCATGGAGAATAAGAGCACCTCCTCCCAGCTGCCCACTGCACTGAGGCTAGGAAACACTATCACCACCGATAAATCTACAATAATCGAGAATTTCAACAAGCATTTTGCTACGGCTGGCCATGCTTTCCACCTGGCTACCACTACCCCGGCCACCAGCTCTGCACCCTCCGCTGCAACTTGCCCATGCCCCCCCCCCCCCCCCCCCCCTGCTTCTCCTTCACACAAATTCAGACAGCTGATGTTCTGCAAGAGCTGCAAAATCTGGACCCCTACACATCATCTGGGCTAGACAATCTAGACCCTTTCTTTCTAAAAATAGCCGCCGAAATTGTCGCAACCCCTATTACTAGCCTGTTCAACCTCTCTTTCGTAACGTCTGAGATCCCCAGAGATTGGAAAGCTGCCGCGGTCATCCCCCTCTTCAAAGGGGATGACACTCTAGATCCAAACTGTTACAGACCTATATCCATCCTGCCCTGCCTTTCGAACGTTTTTGAAAGCCAAGTTAACAGACAGATCACCGACCATTTCGAATCCCACCGTACCTTCTCCGCTATGCAATCCGGTTTCCGAGCTGGTCATGGGTGCACCTCAGCCACGCTCAAGGTCCTAAACGATATTATAACCGTGATCGATAATAGACAGTACTGTGCAGCCGTCTTCATCGACCTGGCCAAGGCTTTCGACTCTGTCAACCATCGCATTCTTATTGGCAGACTAAATAGCCTTGGTTTCTTAAATGACTGCCTCGCCTGGTTCACCAACTACTTCTCAGATAGAGTTCAATGTGTCAAATCGGAGGGCCTGTTGTCTGGACCTATGGCAGTCTCTATGGGGGTGCCACAGGGTTCAATTTTTGGGCCGATTCTTTTCTCTGTGTATATCAATGATGTCGCTCTTGCTGCTGGTGACTCTCAGATCCACCTCTACGCAGACGACACCATTTTGTACACATCTGGCCCTTCATTGGACACTGTGTTAACAAACCTCCAAACGAGCTTCAATGCCATACAACACTCCTTCCGTAGCCTCCAACTGCTCTTAAACACTAGTAAAACAAAATGCATGCTCTTCAATCGAACGCTGCTGGCACCCACCCACCTGACTAGAATCACTACTCTCGATGGGTCTGACCTAGAGAATGTGGACAACTACAAATACCTAGGTGTCTGGTTAGACTGTAAACTCTCCTTCCAGACTCACATTAAGCATCTCCAATCCAAAGTTAAATCTAGAATCTGCTTCCTATTTCGCAACAAAGCCTCCTTCACTCATGCTGCCAAACATGCCCTCGTAAAACTGACTATCCTACCGATCCTTGACTTCGGCGATGTCATTTACAAAATAGCCTCCAACACCCTACTCAGCAAATTGGATGTAGTCTATCACAGTGCCATCCGTTTTGTCACCAAAGCCCCATATACTACCCACCATTGTGACCTGTACGCTCTTGTTGGCTGGCCCTCACTACATATTCGTCGCCAAACCCACTGGCTCCAGGTCATCTATAAATCACTGCTAGGCAAATCCCCGTCTTATCTTAGCTCACTGGTCACCATAGCGACACCCACCCGTAGTCTGCGCTCCAGCAGGTATATCTCACTGGTCATCCCCAAAGCCAACACCTCCTTTGGCCGCCATTCCTTCCAGTTCTCTGCTGCCAATGACTGGAACGAACTGCAAAAATCTCTGAAGCTGGAGACTCTTATCTCCCTCACTAACTTTAAGCATCAGTTGTCAGAGCACCTTACCGATCACTGCACCTGTACACAGCCCTTCTGAAATTAGCCCTCTCAACTACCTCATCCCCATATTGTTATTTATTTTGCACATTTGCACCGCAGTATCTCTATTTGCACATCATCTCTTGCACATCTATCATTTCAGTGTTAATACCAATTGTAATTATTTTGCACTATAGCCTATTTATTGCCTTACCTCCATAACTTGCGACATTTGCACACACTGTATAAATATTTTCTGTGGTATTTGTGACTTTATGTTTTGTTTTACCCCATATGTAACTCTGTGTTGTTGTTTTTATCGCACTGCTTTGCTTTATCTTGGCCAGGTCGCAGTTGTAAATGAGAACTTGTTCTCAACTGGCTTACCTGGTTAAATAAAGGTGAAATAAATAAATAAATAAATAAAAACCAACCCTGGACCAATACATACAGCTATGGGATGTACTGTCACAGCAGTTATACAGGTCACACACACGCAAACGCACACACACACACCATGTGATCTTGACTGAGTAGCAGCTTCTTTACCCTTCATATTCCTCCACATCAGACAGAGAGAAAAGAGAACGCTCTTACACAGTTACAACAAAAGACCTTAACTCAAGAGTGATGTGATAGCTTGGCACGTCATCCAAGCATCCACCCAGCTGACGCGCTATCTGCACAAACCTCTTACTATAATAACACTTTAAATAGCATTCAATAGAAGTGTATCTATGATTTGAGAGCGTCATTCAATATCCACTCAGAATTCCTTTAAAATCTGTCTCAGACTCAATGGTAGCTTTTCTATCAAATGGTTTGGGATTCGGTGCTCTGAATTGCTGCCCATCCTAAAGTTAGAATCAGGAGGATGTGTTTTGTGCTGTCATGACGTGTGAGGCGTTGGAAGGTGTAGGATAGGGATGATGCTCAGGCTATCAAGGATAAGTGGAGCAAGAAGCATGACCAGATTCAATTTATCTTTATTATTTGTATTATTTGTATACAATAATTGATCTTTCTGTTCATTGGAGATACTTTATATTTTCCCTACATTTCAGTTGAGGGGCCTAAGGATGGTGTTAGAGTAGCATGAAAACACATTCAGAAAACATCTAGGAGAGAAACAAAGGAAGCTAATGAGATCTAATCAATTCCTATTACATTTCTTTTTGGGGGGTGTGGGTGACTGAAAAAATATGTATTTTGATTGACAGTAAAACATAAGAGTGAGGAGGAAAATAAAGAGATGCCCTGACCTCCAGGGGCCCTGACCTCCAGGGGGCCCCATTGATTTTGTTAGTCACTCTCACTCAGCTATCATATTAACATGGCATAAGTCATTGCAAAACGTGTAGAATTGTAGGTAATTAGTTTTAAAACTGCAACAACAACAAAAAATATGTCAGGCAAACTCATTTGTTTACTTTTTGTTAATAAAATATGTTTTCTGCTAACAGGTATTAAATTATAGTGTTTAATCCTGGTGCTGAGTTAATGTGATTGTAGAGCTAATAGGGTATGTGTTTGTAGATGGACTGAGGTGAATGAAGCTCCAAATAGTATTTTCGAGTTTTAAAATTGTATAGAAATGCAGTAAATGAGGTTAAACTTTCTTACCCCCTGTGTGGGTGTGGGTGTGTGTGCAGTGTGTGTGTGCGTGTGTTTAAGTGTGTGTGTGTGGGTGTGTGCGTGCGTGCTTGTGGCAATATGGTCTCCCGAGTGGCGCAGTGGTCTAAGGCACTGCATCGCAGTGCTAGCTGTGCCACTAGAGATCCTGGTTCGAATCCAGGCTCTGTCGTAGCCGGTCGCGACCGGGAGACCCATGGGGCGGCGCACAATTGGCCCAGCGTCGTCCAGGGTTGGGGAGGGAATGGCCGGCAGGGATGTAGCTCAGTTGGTAGAGCATGGCGTTTGCAATGCCAGAGTTGTGGGTTCGATTCCCACAGGGAGCCAGTATGAAAAAAGTAATGTTGCACTCGCTAACTGTAAGTCGCTCTGGATAAGAGCGTCTGCTAAATGACTGTAATGTAATTGAGGTTTTTACAACGTCATAAATGGGTCTTGGATCTGCGCCATGTCTTTTCAGCCCAGTTTATTCCACTCCAGAGTTTATTCGTTTGAGCGGGGGAAAAAACTAAATTAATTTCCACCACTATTGACATTTTCAAAAAAGCAATCCTTTTTTTAACGCATTAATTAATATAGTTTATAATTGTCGATGACAGCTTATGGTGACGCGTCTGTCCGCGCACATTTCCAGAATAGTGATTTGGAGACTCTTGCGCTCAATGGAGCGCATCTTGTGATGCCCCCTCCCCACCCAGTCTTGCGCGCGGCATTATAAATATCGCGCCCCAGAGTGGGTGCCCTATGCAGAACATACAGGAGCAGAAAGACGCCTGAGGACAACTTCTATCCAAACCATCATTTAAACCCTCAAGTCAATGTAAATAGCCTACCTCTATTAAATCTATAGACATAATTTAAACAAGATTAGCTATTGATTTCTTAACCTTTTTGTCTAATGTACCTACCGATTTTATAGGGTTTTTCTATACAGCTTGTAGCCTATCAACTAATGTAATTGCCTTTACTGAAACTGACATTTTTAAACAATTAATCTGAGGAAGTTAATAAATAGATATCGATTCAATTTTAAACAACAAAAATAGATAAATATGAGGCATCCTCCAGTTAATGTAGACAACCGGTGGTGGTGGGGTTGTAGTACGGAACAGACCTAATTATTGTCTTGAACATACGCAACTTCTAAAAGTTTTTCCCAGGTAAACTTTGATAAGACTGCGTAGCCTAAGCAATTCAGACCCTGATATTTTTCTCTCTTGATTCCTAAACGTTAAAGATGCATCCTAACTTGGGTACCTGGCTGGGCGCAGTGACGCTCCTCGTCTGGACCTTCATCTGCATCGGGACGCTTGCGGAAGGCTACCCGGTCAAACCAGAAAACCCCGGCGAAGATGCGCCCACGGAGGAACTGGCCAAGTATTACTCCGCTCTCAGACATTACATCAACCTCATCACAAGGCAGAGGTGAGTGCTGTGATCCGGGTGTGAGAAATTGCTGCTTTAATTAAAGGGCTGAAGTTTGGATTTGTGATTATCCAATTGAAATATTTGATGAGTGAGCCACAGGGTATTGATTCATAATGACATCATGATATGATACTGTAGTAGGCTAATAATAAACGTATATGTTAGCACCTTTCATACAAATAAATAGGGGACAGCCCAAAATGCTGTGCAAATGAGCACTTAAAAGAAACAACAATAAAAATTGTGAAAGTAGGCTAATCGAATGAATAATATCAGACTATAGATTGCTATACCATAGGCTAAACTTTTCAAATACTAGCCTAACTAACTAACTAACTAATTAACTAACTACCTACTATATGGAGTGGGACACTATGAACTCAGCTACTAGTATAGCTAAAATTACACTTTGGTTTGTAGCCTAATATCTGTGTTATTACTGACTCTAGTCCAAATACCAAACTAATCCAATCATTCAGGTGACTAAAATAACAAAGATGAGTCACATAAACTTGTCACTAATTGCTCTGTGTATTGTCTGTATGAAAGAACATCTTTATTTCAACAGCAGCACTCCCCTGATTCTTGATTAGCAACATCCCACACACCTCTTTACAGATTAAGCCATTCACCCTGCGTTCACTCACACTCTATTCACTAACCCCCCCCCCCCCCCTCTCTCTCTCTGTGTCTCTCCCAGGTATGGGAAGAGGTCCAGCCCTGACACACTGGATACACTGATCTCAGAATTGCTGCTGAAGGAGAGCACAGACACGCTCCCACAGTCCAGGTACCTTCACTGTGTGTGTGTGTGTGTGTGTGTGTGTGTGTGTGTGTGTGTGTGTGTGTGTGTGTGTGTGTGTGTGTGTGTGTGTGTGTGTGTGTGTGTGTGTGTGTGTGTGTGTGTGTGTGTGTGTGTGTGTGTGTGTGTGTGTGTGTGTGTGTGTGCGTGTGTGCGTGTGTATGTGTTTGTGTGTGACTGGACCAGGACACATATTGATAAAGTGTCTCAGAGTAGAAGTGCAGGTTCCCTCTGTCTATGTAATCTTATTCATTATGATCTAAAAGGTGAAACTTATCCTAGATCAGCACTCCTACTCTGAGAGGCTTTATGAATATGGACCCTGTTCCCCTGGTCTCAATAGAAGAAAGTATGGTGATCGTTTGTACATAATTGTTATTTGATACTTTATATATGTTGTCTCTTCCCAGATATGATGAACCATCGTTGTGGTAACCTTGTCTCTGTCCCCGCCCAGCACCCCGGCTCATCGCCGTGGCGACGAGCAATTGACCTCAACAACATGGCCGCCTCACCATGGCCGACGCCCCATCCTAACAAACCCAACTAGCCACCATGCCCCATGGATTTCATGATGTATGCATCCCCCTCTCTCCCCATCCTCCATCCAGAGGCTACTCCTGTGCCAGATAACTGTTCAGGGTCTTATGAAAGCCATTATCTGTGCATTGTTATTCTAAATCAGTGGAGATAATTATTGATTGTATGGTAAAAACCGTGCTATTAAATATTCATTATATAACGGATCTACTTATTTGCTGTAGTTGTAAACTTATTTGAAATGAGTCTTAAGCCAAGAGAATAAATGAAGGTTCCTCTGGCTTTGTACATTATCCTGAAGAGATTGTACGTCTTTAAATACATGTACATGCAGACACTCACTCACAACAAACACATTTTTGCAATCCCCGGAGAAGTATTAGAAGCCAGATTGTACTCAACTCTTTTCAGGGCAATGGCAATTTGGTGGCTAAGGGCGCACTCTTGTGGTTGATATGTTTTAGTGCATTGAACACGATATGGCGTTACCTGGCCTGAAGTCAGAGGAGCTACTGGGCAGCTAGTCTCCCTGTAGAAAGCGTAAAGCTTCTTTTACATAGGTGTTAATGCAAAAAGGTATACAAAATATTATACTATAATGTGGGACATTGGTAATGAACTGTCCATTGGAATGGAATAACCTTGGTAACACTTTGTCATATTACCCAACATCAAGTCAACGTTTTACATTTATTTTTCTACATTTTAGTCATTTTAGCAGACGCTCTTATCCAGAGCGACTTACAGTTAGTGAGTGCATACATTTTTCATACATCGAATCATTGTCATACCAACAAGTGTAGAATGTGAATGAGTAGAATGAGTATACTGCTATTGGAGGGGTCTAGACATAAAATAGGACAAGGTAAGGGAGATAGAGGAGAGAGCAGAGAAAACGTCATTCCAAAGGTTGTGAATTTTGATGACTGAACATTTCTGATTAATATGCTTTTATTATGGTGAATACTGACCTAATACTAGCCTACCTGTTTTGAAATCTCAGTTTAAGTGCAGATTACCATCTAATAGGAAATAGGTCCTTATGTTATTCTATAGCCTGTCATATTTGGCACACCATGTTCATTCAACACTGCAGGCTATTAGTACAGCTAGTCTCAAATGGTGCATAGAAAGCAAATTCCTAATCCTGTCCTCAAATTCCCAGTTAATCCCACCCAAATTTATAATTCCCACCCAATTTAATTCCATTAACTAAGCACGCCAAATTCTACTGTAATGGTCCACAGTAACCTACCCCATAACATTGTAGCCCCTTACATAGCCTTTTTCACACATGTACAATAAAACACAGGCAAGGCTATTATATCAATACCATCAACGGCTCTATATTCCCATGAATAAAGAGTTGGAGAATTAAAAAAATCACAATGCAACATTCAATTCCATTATCATTCGCATTATGAATTGTTACACTGTGTCCATCGTTGGATGTTGGGGATGGACCTCCCGATGGATCTCGGCTATGATTCGTCAATTTCTGACACACGTCATCAGTAGGGGCGCGGTCTATTGGTTTGATTGGCATCATGTATACACGGATAGTTAGCAGTGGGACCACGACAGCTGAGGGGGGTTTGAATTTCTAACTGGGACAGACACCGCTAATTTACGCACACGATTACCGGTAAGTCAGAATGGGCGATTCAAGTTAAGTCTGGAGAGAAACTATATGTCAAAGGAAAAGGGGACTTTTTGGTTTCAAAGATGGACTTAGCACGTAAGGAAGAAGTCAAGCCCTGTGTGCTGCCCGTGATGTGTGTGTGACTGTGGGAGCTTTATTTGGAATGGCTTACCGCTTGTCCAATGTGATTGCCTTGTTCATACGTTGAGTGCTTATTCACGAATCGGATGCATTTTCTCTATCTTGACTATGGGAAAGGCTATAGGCCTAAACTATGATGATAATACTCTCCAAAAGTGCAGGCTACAATGCCTTGGATGGGTAACAAAAATGGCCGCATGTGTGTGATGAGTTCACTGTAATTTGCTAACAATTGACAGCAAAACCGGACCGATAATTTGGCACGTGTGTGGACCACTCGTTGGCCCATTCATTATTTCCTGGATATCGGTCTAATTCTATGCGCAGTAAGGGATCTGTGCGTGTGTTACTCGCGCCGCTGATAAGATGTGCGCGCGCGCGCGAGGAAGTGGCAGGCAGCAGGAATCCCCACTATCACAAAAGCCTGCACCGCACCAGCAGAGAAAAGGGGCTGTATTGAGAAAAGGAGCGTGGCGTACAATGTTCCACGGCCCCGCCACAATTTGATAGGCTACACTCCCCGTGCCAGGGAATGAGTGAAACCACCATTGTTTGTTTGTTGAACAACAACCGGACTTTGTTTATTTGTGCTGAGCTGGTGAATGGACGTAGATCGGGTCGGTATAGCTGTGGCAGCGTCTGGTCCGAAGGCAGAGGGCAGCAGACGCATGCTATTGATTTTGCCTTCAGATTTGTCTGAGGAGTGTAGAATCCAATCTAATGTCACTATTTAGATGACCTCTTAATCCTGACCATCTGAATGTGATAATCTCAGTCATTATAAAAGGTTTATGTGAATGAACCTTTTGCCTGTAAATATTTTGTTGCATTGTAATTTCAGAACATGTCCATAATATAACTGGCGCTAATAGTGGAATGATAGTGTTTCACAGTATTACTTACCCGCCAGTGTTGTGATTGGCTGTGATATTCGCCTATTGATTTCTTCTGCTGGAGCGGCATCTGGTGTCAAAATGTTATTACTTTGTGGCTGTGTTATCTAGTGGAAAACAATCGCGCCGGAGGGGATGGCTGCCGTTTTATGGGCTCTTAACCAACTGTGCTATTTTGTTAGTTTTTTCGCATTGTTTGTAACTTATTTTGTACATAATGTTGCTGCTATTGTTATTTTACTGCTGCTCTTTAATTATTTGTTACTTTTATTTCTTATTTTTCTTAGGTATTCTTTCTTAAAACTGCATTGTTGGTTAAGGGCTTGTAAGTAAGCATTTCACTGTAAGGTGTGACAAATAAAATTTGACAAGTGAAATCAATAAGGGATCATAGCTTTCACCTGGATTCACCTGGTCAGTCTGTCATGGAAAGAGCTGGTGTTCTTAATGTTTTGTACACTCCGTGTATTATGGACATTTTCTGAAATTACAATGCAAAAATACAAATGAATCCTAAGTGTACCACCTTTAATGTAGGCTTATGGCACTGTTCAAATGAATGCATCTTTCTTTCCTTCCTTGGGTGATATAGCCTATAACAACTGGTTTGGTGGAAAGCTAGTCAAGGAAGGAATGACGGTTGGAATCAGTCCATCTTTAATGTGACAACCCTTATTCCATGTGCGTAGGCAGAATATTTGGCTTTGTACTGGCCGGTGTACGTTCTTGATTTTTTTGAGTTTGTTATTTGCTTACTGCACTGCTGCATAGATTAAAGGGTGGAAGCAGCAGTCTCCTGCCTTTCCCAGAATGAATCACCCAAGCAGAGCCAGAGAGACCAACATGCCCTATGCCTCACACTCATGTCTGTCACAGGGCCACGTCCCAAATGGCACCCTATTTCCTATATACTGCACAACGTTTGACCAGAACGCTATGGAGGAATAGGGTGGCATTTGGGATGCACACACTCGTGTTTGTCTCACACCCATAGAGGTACAGTCTGGAGCTGGACTTGGTAATTGTATCTTCTGAATAAGTGGATGTTATGACATGTCCAATCTCTGTTAGAATATAGCAGACATTACAACCTGGTTTTCTTCATTTAAATCAGGCCTGAGAGGATATATATATATATATATATATATATACACACTCCCCCTGACCTGCTCTTTCCTACTCTTTCACCTCTCCACCCATCCCCCCTTTTCGTCTCGCTCTCTTTCTGCATATCTTGCTGCTCTTTAATTATTTATATTTTTTACATAACACTTATTTTTCATAAAACTGCATTGTTGGTTAAGGGCTTGTAAGTAAGCATTTCACTGTAAGGTTGTATACACCTGTTGTATTCGGCGCATGTGACAAATACAATTAGATTTGTCTTGGCTTTTTTCTCTTTCATTCATTTCTCCTTTCCCCCTCTCTGGTAACTGTTAAGACAGCAGTTGGTAGGAGTCCTTAGAGGAGAGAGACTGGAGGAAGACAGCAGTTGGTAGGAGTCCTTAGAGGAGAGAGACTGGAGGAAGACAGCAGTTGGTAGGAGTCCTTAGAGAGAGACTGGAGGAAGACAGAGGGTCATGTGACACGATGAGTTACTGTATGTCATGAGATGCTGCTCGTTAAGGGCTGGGGGATGTGATGAGCTGTGTGTGTGTGTGTGTGCTGGGGGTTGTGATAAGCTGTGGTCAGGATGTAATTATGTGTCCAAAACAAACGATCAGCATCAAATGACAGTGCATTGATTTTGGTTAAATTATATTTGACATAGTAGTTAAGTATGATTTAAAAGTCGCTCTGGATAAGAGCGTCTGCTAAATGACAGAAATTAAAGTAATGATGATGGGATAAATGTGATTATTGTTGTTGTTAAAATAAATATGATTTTATATGTATTTTTATTAATATGTTAAGATGGCCATCTTGTTTCTGGCAGTGTAATCCTCTTATCTAGAGGCACACAGTCTGACCTGAGGCTTGTGGTAGCAGGTGCTCGGTGTGTGTGTGTGTGTGTGTGTGTGTGGGGGGGGGGGGGGCTTGACGAAAGGGGTGGTGGGTTTAGGGTTGGGATGGTTGTAGAGAAGTCAATAGAGATTGGCTAAAGTAGCAGCCCCTCACCCATATCCTCCTCTCCCCACAACACACACACACCATCCGACACACATGGCATACCCCACAATCCCGAGCAAGCTCTGCTAGAATTGAATAACACAGCCTCTGAGTGTACAGGCTATAGTAGCGATGTTGCAGCAAAGCTCACTAATTGCTCCGCGCTACCCCAGGAGTCCTAGCAGCCAGCCCTGCTCGGGAGTACATTGTGGCTCCAAGGCAATCCGGGTTACTGGCCTCCTTTGTGATTCTCAATTGACTGAGAGAAACCCAGAGTGACGGCTATTACTGGGTCCTCTCTGCTTCCTTGTGATGGGGAGATAGACAGAGAGAAAAGGCTTACCCTCAGTTGTTTGTTTGAGTGTACATGAATGGATGTTGCCTTAAGATGTTGATTGTGTGTGTGTGCGGATGTGTGTTTCATTTGATGACCTTTGAGGATGTAGCATAGACTTAAATTAATAGAGCATTCACAGAAACTGAGAATCAAGAAACTTCAATGGAGATCCATTTGTAACATTTATAGGATTTAGATCTATAATGTCTAGTATTTGTCCTCTCATAGGGGTCACCAGAGGTCACAAAATGTGCTATTTTTTAACGATTCTCTGTGCTTTTAATGCTGTGTGGACACACACACTCCTGCATGCATAACACAGAGATGATCTGCTGTGGCGTTTTACACAAAAACAGACACTCTGATCCTTCATAATCCCTCCATCACGAGCTGTCTGTCATCTGGCTGCATGGCAAGCAGGGGCAAGGGGAGGGCTCTGGTTCGTTGTTGGTTCACACCCGTCCCTGACCAGCCATCTTTGTGTGCTGGTGACCACTCCCTGATGCTGCTTTCTGTGCTCAAAAGGAATGATTTTGTATGTTTGTGTATGCAGCTGACTCTCTCCTTGCTCTTCTCTCCTTTTGGACTTACAGTATGTAGGCTATGTGTACACTCTCCCTTTCATCTCATCCTCTTGTATTTTAAGTCCCAGAAGCCCTCTCTCTTATTCTCTACTTCTCAGGAGTGCACCCACTCTCTCGTCTCCATCAAGCTCCTTCAAGTACTGAACAGCTTCTTTCTCTCCTGAGTGTCTGCTGTCTCAGCCCTATCCTCTCAAAAACTAGAGTTCGCTCCTTTCCTCTCCTCTCGTTAGACCTTAGTGTGCTCTCTCCTCATCTCGTCTCCTCCTCTAAGAGCTTACTCTGGGCCCATTCCTCTCCTCTTTTAAGACCAACATTTGTCTCTCTTCTTCTTTAAGAGTGTACTCTCCCTCTTCATATTCTCTCTCTTTCCCTTCCACTTCACACTCTCTCCTTCCTCTCTCTCCTTCCCCTCTCTCCTTCCTCTCTCTCCTTCCCCTCGCTCCTTCCTCTCTCTCCTTCCCTCCCTCCTCTCTCTCCTTCGTCTCTCTCCTTCGTCTCTCTCCTTCGTCTCTCTCCTTCGTCTCTCTCCTTCGTCTCTCTCCTTCCTCTCTCTCCCTCCTCTCTCTCCTTCCTCTCCTGTCCACTTCTTTAAGTGTTTTCTCTCTCCCTGCTTTCCTGTCCTCCTTTACCTTGGCCGTAGAGAGACAGACCCTGGAGGGGCCCAGTGGTGCGGATGATTCGATGAGGAGGAAGAATTGCCCAAGTGCCTTTGCTGCCATTAACATTCTTCCAGGGGATATCTTTCACTCCCAATCAGCGTGCAGGGCCTTATTGTAATCTGCATTGCGTAATGAAACCGGCCAGTAAGCCTCGCTCTTGCGCTCTTGCGCTTTCTCTCTGCTGTAATGGGCCAATTAGCACTAACGTGACGGATGGGCCACGATTGAGCAGATTCAATGGAGAGAAGGCTGATATGATGGAGGGTGGTGAAATAAAATTGCTGGTCGTTAAAACCGTTGCACAGGAAGTAGGATTGTAATATCCTGTGATCTGCTTGCATTGCCAGTCAGATAACGAGGCTGTTAATATGTGTCCCAAATGGCACCTTTTCCCTATATAGTGCGCTACTTTTTTTCCTATATAGTGCACTACTTTTTGTACGAAAGTAGTAGACTATATAGGGAATAGCGTGCCATTTGGGGCGCAAACTTTACTGTCTGTAATTCTATGGTGGCCGTACTTGTGTGACCATATTGTGACACAGTGGTCCAGATTGGAGCTGAAGGTCAAAAGTCATCAGTAGGGTTTGACCTCCTTGGTCATCTCAGATAGGGTTGGAAAATTCCAGTAACATTGCCAAAGTCCCGGTTGGAAGATTCCTTGAATCGGGATGAAATAAGCAGAAAATCCGGAATCCTCCAACCCAGATTTCTATGGAAAACCTGGGAATTGTTGGAAAGTTATCGGAATTTTGCAACCCTAATCTCAAGACCTGCTGCCATGGCTAAGACCTAAGCAGTGGGTGATTATTTTCATTGTTTGATGGCTTCCTCTGCTAACCCATTTCATCTCATCAGAGTTATTCAGAGCTGCCTGCGTGGGATGGAGGGATCGGGCTTAATGCTGCTGACCTGTAGTGTTTATTAATAAGCTACTGTTTACCACTCTCTCAATGGACCTGGGATGGAGGGAGGAGGTTAGAGGGAAGGGAGGATGCAGGAGAGCAGGAATGGAAGAAGAGAAATAGAGAGAAATTACTCAAGGTTAGACTGAACGCATAACCCTGCCTGTCATTCTCATATAATAGAGGACATTTACATTTTGACTGAATGACATTCAGGCTGATGATGTAAGCAATGTCCTTAAGTGGCTGTGGACACAATGGCCATCAGAGTCGTGCTGGAGGAACAATTGCCCCCATCAGTGCCTGGGATCCCTGTCCTAGTCTGGTCTCCTCTGGACAAGAATGAGATGACTCATCAGAGAGAGAATAGAGAGAGAGGGAGCGAGAGTGGGTGTCAGATACAGATTGTGTAAACCCCTGTTCTAGGGCTGGGGGATATTTTATGTTTTTGAATAATAAAAGGTCAAAATTTGCTTTATGAGTAGTGCGTAACCCTAGGGTGGCAACACATACATTCTAAGTGATTTCAATTGGTCTTTCTCCATTCGGATTGTTTTATACTGTTCAATTAAACTTCAACCAAAAATAATTGTCATTCATTTCTGAATTTCCTGCACTCATTTGAGATCATTTCCAAACTGCCACGTAGGGCTGCACAATATGGGCAAACAATCTAGGCCTTATTTTTTACCAACTGTTGCAATTGCGATTTGGCTTGTGATTTAGAGCAAAACACTTGGGTGAACTGTTGGAATCATGGAAATAGAACGATTATTCAAATTCAATAGTTAGAATATAATAGTGGGCACTTTGAATACAGTGTTTGACATGACAACAAATAAAAATCCCAGGGAGGAGTTATTGTGTCAGTGTTTCCTAGAGGAAATCTTTGGCTACATTGAATGTTTTCTCTTAGCTTCTTCATGTATCTAACATATTCTTGCTTCACGTATTCCTCTTTGATTTAGAAGATACTGTTGCACAAAAAACATGCAGATGTACAGTACCAGTCAAAAGTTTGGACACACCTACTCATTCCAGGGTTTTTCTTTATTTCGACTTTTTTCTACATTGTAGAACAATAGTGAAGACATCATGAAGCTGGTTGACAGAATGCCAAGAGTGCGCAAAGCTGTCATCAAGGCATAGGGTGGCTACTTTGAAGAATTATTGGCAGACTAAATAGCCTTTCTCAAATGACTGCCTCAACCTGGTTCACCAACTACTTCTCAGATAGATTTCAATGTGTCAAATCGGAGGGCCTGTTGTCTGGACCTCTGGCAGTCTCTATGGGGGTGCCACAGGGTTCAATTCTCGGGCTGACTCTATTCTCTGTGTATATCAATATCAATGATATTTTTTTTTATTGGGAGGTGTTGAATGGAGTTGAAGGATGGGACTAATAACAACTAACAACAAATAATAACAAGATAACTAATAATGTAAGCATACTGTGTCCATAATAAGTATATTGGTTGTATGTTGGGAGCTTTTGGGAAAGAGCACAGTTATAAAGATATGGCATATAGAAGCAAACCGGATGGACATCATGAAAATGATCGGAGAGGTTGTGAGTAGAAGAAGTTCAGGAGAAAAAACAAACAAACAAAATATAATTATTGTAAAATTGACTGTGTCCATAAAATGTAGATAGTAAGTATAAGCCTGAAGTAGAGGCCTAAGCATTGTTGTTCACTAATTTACCCCAAGTAGGGAAAGGATGGCGGGGGCAATGTAATAAAGGGGAGTATATATATATATATATATATATATATATATATATAAAAAAAAACATGGGGGACTGGAAGTGATGCAGACAATTACATTGATGGAAGTTACAATCTATCTGCAATATTAAGCTGATCTACCCCCCCCCCCCCCCCCCCCCAAAAAAAAAATGATGTCGCTCTTGCTGCTGGTGACTCTCAGATCCACCTCTACGCAGACGACACCATTTTCTATACATCTGGCCCTTCATTGGACAGTGTTAACAAACCTCCAAACGAGCTTCAATGCCATACAACACTCCTTCCGTGGCCTCAAACTGCTCTTAAATGCTAGTAAAACTAAATGCATGCTCTTCAATCTGCTTGCACCCGCCCGCCCGACTAGAATCACTACTCTCGGCGGGTCTGATTTAGAATATGTGGACAACTACAAATACCTAGGTGTCTGGTTAGACTGTAAACTCTCCTTCCAGACTCGCATTAAGCATCTCCAATCCAAAGTTAAATCTAGAATCGGCTTCCTATTTCGCAACAAAGCCTCCTTCACTCATGCTGCTAAACATGCCCTCGTAAAACTGACTATCCTACCGATCCTTGACTTCTGCGATGTCATTTACATCTAAAATATATTTTGATTTGTTTAACACTTTTTTGGTTACAACATGATTCCATATGTGTTATTTCATAGTTTTAATGTCTTCACTATTATTCTACAATGTAGAAAATACACTGCTTAAAAAAAATAAAGGGAACACTTAAACAACACATCCTAGATCTGAATGAATGAAATAATCTTATTAAATACTTTTTTCTTTACATAGTTGAATGTGCTGACAACAAAATCACACAAAAATGATCAATGGAAATCAAATGTATCACCCCATGGAGGTCTGGATTTGGAGTCACCCTCAAAATTAAAGTGGAAAACCACACTAGTGGACAGTTTGATTTCACAGAAGTGTGATTGACTTGGAGTTACATTGTGTTGTTTAAGTGTTCCCTTAATTTTTTTGAGCAGTGTAGTTCAAATAAAGAAAAACCCTTGAATGAGTAGGTGTGTCCAAACTTTTGACTGGTACGGTAGGTCTACTCTACACAATCACTGGTATTATCAGGCTGTATAGCTAGTTATGTTTGCTAGTACATTTATTAGCTAGCGATTAGTGGCTAGCAAAATTTAGGCCCAACTTACTAAGAAAAGATAAACTAGCTGTTTGCAGACGTAAGAAACACAAACTAATAGTGTAATTATAGAACGCTAGCCGATTTATATTAACAAGCAAAGTGAAAACAGCATCGTTGTCATCAACACTGTTGCATGTGCTGCATTGACCATGCAGAGACAGAACGCAAGTGTTTCGTGCTCGAGGAACAACAAATGCGCTCCTTGGGTGACAGGGGCGGGGCTAGGTCTGTGTGGAAAACGGCATGGAGAGAGAGAGCTGACTGAAGTAGCGAAGGAAACCTATAAAAATGGACGTTACACACGGCATATCACATTTAACAAACTAAACATTCAAATACCGTTATAGAAGGTTAAGTATGAACCCAAACCGGTCCTTGCATCAATACAAGTATATCGTAAAATACGGTGTACCTCCCAGTCCAACCCTGGTCATAAGCATTGTCTAATGAGCGTGTTCTTGTTTCTTTCTTTCACTCTCTCTCTATCTCTTTCTCTCTCTCTTTCTCTTTCCTCTCTCTTGCTCTCTCTCTCTTTCCTCTCGCGCTCTCTCTTTCCCCCTTACTCTCTTTCCCTCTTCTCCCTCTCTCTCTCTTTCCCTTCACTCTCTCTCCTATAGGTTTCCAGAGTTGAGGGATGAGTAGACTGTAGAAGGACAGGGAGGGTTGGGGTTAACCGTCAGGCACCGGTAAGATCACCACTTGTCCTTTATCCTACAGGTGTCATTATAGATCCTTTACTTTCTGTGAGAGTGTATTATATGTGTCCGTGTTTAGGCTATGGGATTGTGTGGGTGTGTTTTAAATGCATGTTTATTTGAATGCACTTTCCATGTTTAAAAGCATCTGTGTGTTTGTGTGTGTGAGAGAGATAACTATAGAGGATGTCTGTTTGTATATAAACAAGCGTTTGTGTGGATGTAATGTACTGAATGTGCCAGGAGTGTTAAGCCAGTCTTAAGGCTGGTCCTTGGAGCTACTCTCTCTCCCTGGTCTAGACTGATGTTATCAGAGCAGAGTGGTGTTGCCCCTGGCTACTACCACTATCTGACTAGCCTTGTGTTGCCCCTGGCTACTACCACTATCTGACTAGCCTTGTGTGCCCCTGGCTACTACCACTATCTGACTAGCCTTGTGTTGCCCCTGGCTACTACCACTATCTGACTAGCCTTGTGTTGCCCCTAGCTACGACCACTATCTGACTGTATCCTTGTGTAGCCCCTGGCTACTACCACTATCTGAATTTAGCCTTGTGTTGCCCCTGGCTACTACCACTATCTGACTAGCCTTGTGTTGCCCCTGGCTACTACCACTATCTGACTGTAGCGTTGTGGTGCCCCTGGCTACTACCACTATCTGAATTTAGCCTTGTGTAGCCCCTGGCTAGTACCACTATCTGACTAGCCTTGTGTTGCCCCTGGCTACTACCACTATCTGACTGTAGCCTTGTGTTGCCCCTGGCTACGACCACTATCTGACTGTAGCCTTGTGTTGCCCCTGGCTACTACCACTATCTGACTGTAGCCTTGTGTTGCCCCTGGCTAGTACCACTATCTGACTAGCCTTGTGTTGCCCCTGGCTACTACCACTATCTGACTGTAGCCTTGTGTTGCCCCTGGCTACTACCACTATCTGACTGTAGCCTTGTGTTGCCCCTGGCTACTACCACTATCTGACTGTAGCGTTGTGGTGCCCCTGGCTACTACCACTATCTGACTTTAGCCTTGTGTTGCCCCTGGCTACTACCACTATCTGACTAGCGTTGTGGTGCCCCTGGCTACTACCACTATCTGAATTTAGCCTTGTGTTGCCCCTGGCTACTACCACTATCTGACTGTAGCCTTGTGTTGCCCCTGGCTACTACCACTATCTGACTGTAGCCTTGTGTTGCCCCTGGCTACTACCACTATCTGACTTTAGCCTTGTGTTGCCCCTGGCTACTACCACTATCTGACTGTAGCCTTGTGTTGCCCCTGGCTACTACCACTATCTGACTTTAGCCTTGTGTTGCCCCTGGCTACTACCACTATCTGACTAGCGTTGTGGTGCCCCTGGCTACTACCACTATCTGAATTTAGCCTTGTGTAGCCCCTGGCTACTACCACTATCTGACTAGCCTTGTGTTGCCCGTGGCTACTACCACTATCTGACTAGCGTTGTGGTGCCCCTGGCTACTACCACTATCTGAATTTAGCCTTGTGTAGCCCCTGGCTACTACCACTATCTGACTAGCCTTGTGTTGCCCGTGGCTACTACCACTATCTGACTTTAGCCTTGTGTTGCTCCTGGCTACTACCACTATCTGACTGTAGCCTTGTGTTGCCCCTGGCTACTACCACTATCTGACTAGCCTTGTGTTGCCCCTGGCTACTACCACTATCTGACTAGCCTTGTGTTGCCCCTGGCTACTACCACTATCTGACTGTAGCCTTGTGTTGCCCCTGGCTACTACCACTATCTGACTGTAGCCTTGTATTTCCTCTGGCTACTACCACTATCTGAATGCAGTGTTGCCCCTGGCTACCACCACTATCTGACTATATCATTGTCTCTACAGTTCCACCCTGACAACCCAGTCACAACCATGATTACAGTCAGAGGAAGAGATCCGCTGTATCTGCTATTTACACTGGTACACAGGAGGGTGTGTGTTTGGGGGACCGAGTGGCGCAGCGGTCTAAGGCACTGTATTGCAGTGTTAGAGGCGTCACTACAGACCCGGGTTCGATCCTGGGCTGTATCGCAACCGGCCGTGATCGGGAGTCCCTTAGGGTGGCGCACAATTGGCCCAGCATCGTCCGGGTTAGGGGAGGGTTTGACCGGTGTAGGCCGTCATTGTAAATAAGAATTTGTTCTTAACTGACTTGCCTAGTTAAATAAAGGTTAAATAAGTAAAACACTCTATGGCAGTGCAGACACCTGTATACTGCTAATATAATATTGATATAACACTATTTGTGAGCACACTTTCTGATGTTAGCACATCTCTGTTCCGTATTGCTAACCCATGGCAAATGCTCACCAAACATCCAAACCCTGGAGCCTTCAGTTTAATGCACCACTTTTTCCAGTCAACTGCTTTTCACGACACTTATTCATCCCATAATGCTTTGCGTCAGCTGGACTGCTCACCTGATCTTCTTCTTCGGGGCTGTATGTTTACAGATGTGTTAATTTTTTTATTTTGGGGGGGAAAGATACAGCTACATCATACACCATGAACATTTTTCAATTTCTAACAGTGGAATTTTTCTACAATGTTGTGCTGCTGTCATGTTGTGCTGCTGCCATGTTGTGTTGCTACCGTGTTGTTGTCATGTTGTGTTGCTACCATGCTATGTTGTCATGTTGTGTTGCTGCCATGTTGTGTTGTTGTCTTAGGTCTCTCTTTATGTAGTGTTGTGGTGTCTCTCTTGTCGTGATGTGTGTTTTATCCTACATTTTATTTTTTATCCCAGCCCCTGTCCCCGCAGGAGGCCTTCTGCCTCTTGGCAGGCCATCATTGTAAATAAGAATTTGTTCTTAATTCTTAATAAATAAAATAAATAGAAATGAGTGCATATACCAGATACTATGTATTTTGGAGATCTACCGCAGTGATAGAGAGTACCGCACTTTGAGAACTGAGAGAGGGAGGGAGAGAGAATCCAGAGTAGATTCTGTAATCCTGTGTTTTTGCAGTAGGATTAAAATCCCGCTCAGATTTGCTGTGGATGGGGGTGGGGTTTACTGGGAAGAGGGAGGGGGGTGGGGCTGACTGGGACTAGGGAGGGGGTGGGGCTTACTGGGAAGAGGGAGGGAGGGATTAGGGACTGCAGATCATATCCTCTTAAACTACAGCTGTTTAAGAGGGGGAGGGGCATTGAGAGCGAAGGGGAGGGGTTTACAGGAGGACCATCTAATGGTGTAGAATGTAGATGGAATGAAGATGTCACCTAGACACAGATCTAAGATCAGTTTGTGTCAGTATCAGTCACCTGTAGAAAGGGAGAGGAGTCTCGAAGGGCAGCCGAAAGAGTCTGGAAAAGATTTCATGATTGCATGTGAACTCAAACAAACCCTCAACAGCAGGAGAGGATTAGGTGTAAGGGGGGGCTAGGAGGGTGTGTTTGTGGTGGGGGTGAGGTATTAAAGGGAGTGTTGAGGGAGGGGATTGAGAACGACTGAATCTGTGTCCACATATGTGTGAACCAGCTATCTGTCTCCATCTCTCTCTCTCTCTGTCCTTAGTGTCTCTCTCCTCATTATTTCATATACTTCTATTTATTTCATCTCTTATCTCTCTTTCATCTATTATCTCTGTCTTTCATCTCTTATCTCTGTTTAATTGCTTTTAGTTTAATCCCCCTTCTATTGTTTCTCTGTCTTTCATCTCCTCTGTGCATCTTTCTCTCCCTCTCTTCCTCTCTTTGAGGTTAGAGACTGTTGTTCATTGTGTAGTAGACTGAATGTTAAGGGCAGAGGAGCTTTAGACCAACTATCACTTAGTGGTGGTGGTTCACTTGTGGTTAGGTTAGCATAGCTGTGGTCGAGGAGCGGTCGAAGAGCGGTCATGGCTATGGAGGACGCCTGTCCCAACGGGGTGGAGGTAGAGGTGGAGTCCCCTCCGGATGCAGGTGGGACGGGAGAGCAAGGCGAGACAGGAGAGGGGGCGGCCGGGGAGGGGGCGGCTGCTGAGCCCACAGAGGGGGCCGACACATCCGGAGGTGAGATTCTCAGTTGCAGATATTGATACTGTGGGAAAATGTTGTTGCCAGATAGATAGATAAGGTTGCCAGCTAGATATAGTTTAGCTGTGAGTCTTGGCACTTTCTTAGTCAGCTGTTTCTGTGGCACACACCTCCCGGTGAACACATAGGCTTATGACCCTCTCTCACCAAGGTGTGTGTGTGAATGAGTGCACACTCTTTTTCATATGCATGATGTAACGAAAAGGTATGTGTGTGTGTGTGTGTGTGCGTGTGTGTGTGTATGAGATATTTCTATCATCCTCATGAATTACTATGAGATTTAGGCAGAGATCCATTTATATAAAGCCTGGATATTACTATATTATGATAGATACAGTGCATTCGGAAAGTTTTCAGACCCCTTGACTTTTTCCACATTTTGTTACGTTACAGCCGTATTCTAAAATGGATTAAATAGTTTTCCCCCCTCATCAATCTACACATAATACCCCATAATGACAATGCGAAAACAAGTTTTTAGACATTTTTACAAATTTATAGAAATAAAAACCCCCCGGAAATATCACATTTACATAAGTATTCAGACCCTTTACTCAGTACTTTGTTGAAGCACCTATGGCAGCGATTACAGCTACGAGTCTTCTTGGATATGACGCTACAAGCTTGGAACACCTGTATTTGGGGAGTTTCTCCCATTCTTCTCTGCAGATCCTCTCAAGCTCTGTCAGGCTGGATGGGGAGCGTTGCTGCACAGCTATTTTCAGGTCTCTCCAGGGATGTTAGATCGGGTTCAGGCTGGGCCACTACAGGACATTCAGAGACTTGTCCCAAAGCCACTCCTGCGTTGTCTTGGCTGTGTGCTTAGGGTCGTTGTCCTGTTGGAAGGTGAACCTTCACCCCAGTCTGAGGTCCTGAGCACTCTGGGGCAGGTTTTCATCAAGGATCTCTCTGTATTTTGCTCCATTCATCTTTCCCTCGATCCTGACTAGTCTCCCAGTCCCTGCCGCTGAAAAACATCCCCACAGCATGATGCTGCCACCACCATGCTTCACCGTAGGGATGGTGCCAGGTTTCCTCCAGATGTGACGCTTGGCATTCAGTCCAAAGAGTTCAATCTTGGTTTCATCAGACCAGAGAATATTGTTTCTCATGGTCTGAGAGTCCTTTAGGTGCCTTTTGGCAAACTGCAAGCGGGCTGTCATGTGCTTCCGTCTGGCCACTCTACCATAAAGGCCTGATTGGTGGAGTGCTGCAGAGATGGTTGTCCTTCTGGAAGGTTCTCCCATCTCCACATAGGAACTCTGGAGCTCTATAAGAGTGACCATTGGGTTCTTGGTCACCTCCCTGACCAAGGCCCTTCTCCCCCGATTGCTCAGTTTGGCCAGGCGGCCAGCTCTAGGAAGGGTCTTGGTGGTTCCAAACTTTTTCCATTTAAGAATGATGGAGGCCACTGTGTTCTTGGGGACCTTCAATGCTGCAGAAGTATTTTGGTACCCTTCCCCAGATCTGTGCCTCGACACAATCCTGTCTTGAAAATCTACGGACAATACCTTCGACCTCATGGCTTGGTTTTTGCTCTGACATGCACTGTCAACTGTGGGAACTTATAAAGACAGGTGTGTGCCTTTCCAAATCATGTCCAATCAATTGAATTTACCACAGGTGGACTCCAATCAAGTTGTAGAAACATCTCAAGGAGGATAATTGGAAACAGGATGCACTTGAGCTCAATTTTGAGTCTCATAGCAAAGGGTCTGAATACTTATGTAAATAAGGTATTTCTGTTTTTTATTTTAAATACATTTGCAAAAATGTTTTGGGGGTATTGTGTGTTGATTGAGGAACATTTTTTATTGAATCCATTTTAGAATAAGGCTGCAACGTAACAAAATGTGGAAAAAGGGAAGGGGTCTACATACATTCCGAATGCACTGTATATTATATGATTATATTATACTACATGACCGTAGCGTGGGAAACCAGAGAGAGACCAGCAGAAAGAGATAGAGAGTGGAGGAGAAACTGTGAAGAGAACTAGATTCTTGCAGAGGACTTCATTGTCTTCATGGCTTTACATATTTAATCTCAGGCACACACAAACACGCACGCGCGCACACACACACACAAATGCATGCACACAAACACGCACACACGTACACACACACCTCCACAGGGCTGTAAGTGTATTACAGGGGCTTACAGGGGCTTTGAGACCCTAGGTTTAAGGTCTTAGCTCCATGATACCTGCCTAGTCCACACCTCTCTCCTTGTCAGGACAAGAGAGGACACACAGGGTCAGAGGAGTCTTCATCTCTGGACCAGACTGAAATTGAATTAATTGAGATAATTGGAAAGAAGATATAATCATATCAAACCACTATTGTCTGTCTAGTGGACTTCTGGATTGACGTTTTTTTCCATTGAAGAACATTATTTTCCATTGAGGAACATTTACAGGGGCCGATGGACAAGCTTCAGCGAGAAAACCAAACTACCAAAAAAAACAACAGAGGAAGTGATTTGTAGGCTTGTGTAGTTTTTGATGCAGTCTTTGTCTGAAGGGATTACAGTTTGGATTTGAATTGGACAGTTTTTATTGCTGTGACCTATCAACTGCAGTGAAAAGGACTGGTCTATTGAACTACATTGAGAGAGAGTGAATGAACTACAGGCATGGCCGCAGGTTGCACAAACTTCTACTGTATTTTATTGGCATGGGAATTCTAAGTAAAATTTGAATGTGGTTGTTTGTTTTGGCTGGACTGTGCAAAAGCAGTATGAGAGGGTACAGGGGTCACTAAGGCCTACACTTTCACTGGCTCTTTCTTCTTTTCAACTAACTCTTTTTTTGCGTGTGTCTTGCATCTACAGTATGTTTGTGACTCACTCTCTTCCCCCTCTCTCTGTATAACTAACACATCTCCCTCTCTCTCTCCCCTCTCTCCCCCATCCCTCCCTCTCTCCCCATCCCTCACTCTCTCCCCCATCCCTCCCTCTCTCCCCATCCCTCACTCTTTCCTCCCTCCCTCCCTCCCTCCCTCCCTCCCTCCCTCCCTCCCTCCCTCCCTCCCCCTCCCTCCCCCACCTTCCCTATGTCCTCCCTCTCTCTCTCCCTCTCCTCTCCCCCCACAGCGATGCAGCAGGTGTTGGACAACCTGGGGGAGCTGCCCACCTCCACGGGGGCCAAAGACATCGACCTCATCTTCCTCAGGGGCATCATGGAGAGTCCCATTGTACGGTCACTCGTCAAGGTAGCATACACACATAGGGGAGAACACACAGAGACTGACTCACACACTGACCAAAGGCTGGCTCCCCGCTAAGGTACTAATCTATCACCATGCTAATACGTAACACAACACTGATGGTTGCCCTGATGGTCACAATGACACAAGTCACACATACACTGCACACACACACACACACACACACACACACACTCTAACCCAGGGGTGTCAAACTCATTCCACGGAAGGCCTAGTGTCTGCAGATATTTTTTTTTTTTTTCAATTAAGACCTAGACAACCAGGTGAGGGGATTTCTTTACTAATTAGTGACCTTAATTCATCAATCAAGTAGAAGGGAGGAGCGAAAACCCACAGACACTCGGCCCTCCGTGGAATGAGTTTGACACGTGCTCTAACCCATATACAGTGCACTGATCTGACATATTCATATTCACATTGGTGAGGTGGGTTATTCACTGCTAAACAGGATGATGTCAGGAAGATGAGTTCCAGCTGCTCTCCCAATCCCAGGCAGCCACGGGCCTGTTGGTGACTGTCACAGCCTGGGGAGGGGGATGGGGTCACAGGGCTGCCTGTGTGGGGTGCCCCTGGAGGTCTCTCTCCGTCACCAGACTGACCCCCCTGGTGACAGATACTCTGACCACTGGAGTGAACTCCTGCCCCAAAATAGTCAGCTGTCCAAGTGGAGGGGGGGACTTCCTCATCAGAATACCACCACAGAACCCTCACTCAACAACACAACTTACTGACACGTGCACCACAAGGCAATCTAACACAAGTTCACTCAATGGCAAGGGGACCCAACCAACCACAACAATGGTTAGAACACCACTATCTATCTACCAGTGAACCACTTCCTCCCATGTCTATATGACCTGTATAACCTTTAATCTCTGACCCCCGCAGGCCCACGAGCGATTGGAGGACGTGAGGCTGGAGGCGGTGCAGGACAACAACGTGGAGCTGGTCACAGACATCCTGGGTGACATCACCGCCCTCAGCGTCCGCGACGACAGCGCAGCGGAACTCTCCCGAATCCTCCAGGAGCCCCACTTCCAGGTGAGGAACCCAGTCACTAACGTTAAAGGTTATAGTTGATGCTAATGCTAGCCTTTATTTCTTGGTTCTTCTTGTGAATCTGAAAGCATTGGCTACACTCTTAGAAAAAAGGGTTCCAAAAAGGTTATTCGACTGTCCCTGTAGGAGAACTCTTTTGGGATTCATGTAGAACCCTTTCGGGAAAGGGTTTTACCTAGAACACAATAGGGTTCTACCTGGAACCATAAAGGGTTCTTCAAAGGGTTCTCCTATGGGGACAATTTTGGATTTAGGATTGGGCAAAAGATGAGCAGAAAATGTTATGGTGTTATTCAATGTTGATGGTTCTATATTGGTACATGTACATGCATCTCAACTCCTGTCATGAAAGGGGAGATGGTTTAGGATCAAATCCCTCCCCTAGAATACTGACCTCTATCCATCGACCTATCAGAGGACTTAGAGGGCTTTTCAGAGTGTGAACCAATAGGATTATATCTTTGAGAAGGGAATATCTCTGCTCCAATCAGAAGCATGCATGCTGTCAGCTCAGCGATAAGACCTTGATATGAGGGAGAGAGAGATTGTGTATGACAGTTTTACGGTGTAGGCTATGTTTGGAGTTATGATGTTCTGTCCTCCCTTACTCAGCCGTCACTTAACAACATGACTTTCACATCAATACATCTCTCTCTCTTCATTTAGCAGAATGTGTCAAATTACATCATTTTTTCTTCTTCTTTTCCATCTGTTTAAACTAGGCTGTTTTTCTCCCCTGTGTCAGGCCTTACATACACACACGCTCGCACGCATGCACACCCACCTACTGCCACCTTCTCCAAGGAGGGAAGAGAGAACTGGGAAGGAGTGAGGGAGGGTTTGGGGTTTAAGATAAATGTTTCCATCCTTGTAATTGTATGTGGGACATTATTTTGGTGTAGCCTAATCTTTTTTTTTTACTTCAGAAAAGGACTGGTGTGCATGATGTAAAACACAACTTCCAATTCACAGCTTAAGACAACGAACACAATTTATAACCTCAATTTATAACCTTCTCCTGCTCATTCCCTTTCTCTTTCTCTCTCTCTCCCCATCTCTCTCTCTCTCTCTCCCCATCTCTCTCTCTCTCTCCCCATCTCTATCTCTCTCCCCATCTCTCTCTCTCTCTCTCTCTCTCTCTCTCTCTCTCTCTCTCTCTCTCTCTCTCTCTCTCTCTCTCTCTCTCTCTCTCTCTCTCTCTCTCTCTCTCTCTCTCTCTCTCTCCCCCCCCATCTCTCTCAATTCAATTCAATTTAAGGGCTTTATTGACATGGGAAACGTATGTTAACATTGCCAAAGCAAGTGAAGTAGATAGTAAACAAAATTGAAATAAACAATAAATATTAACAGTAAACATTACACTCAGAAGTTCCAAAAGAATAAAGACATTTCAAATGTCATATTATGTATATATACAGTGTTGTAACAATGTGCAAATAGTTAAAGTACAAATGGGAAAATAAATAAATATGGGTTGTATTTACAATGGTGTTTGTTCTTCACTGGTTGCCCTTTTCTTGTGGCAACAGGTCACACATCTTGCAGCTGTGATGGCACACTGTGGTTTTTCACCCAGTGGATAAGGGAATTTATCAAAATTGGGTTTGTTTTCGAATTCTTTGTGGATCGCTGTAATCTGAGGGAAATATGTGTCTCCTAATATGGTCATACATTTGGCAGGAGGTTAGGAAGTGCAGCTCAGTTTCCACCTCATTTTATGTCTTCTCTTGAGAGCCAGGTCTGCTTATTGTGGCCTTTCTCAATAGCAAGGCTATGCTCACTGAATCTGTACATAGTCAAAGCTTTCCTTAAATTTGAGTCAGTCACAGTGGTCAGGTATTCTTCCACTGTGTACTCTCTGTTTAGGGCCAAATAGCATTCTAATTTGCTCTGTTTTATTGTTTGTTCTTTCCAATGTGTCAAGTAATTCTCTTTTTGTTTTCTCATTTACATTTTAGTCATTTAGCAGACGCTCTTATCCAGAGTGACTTACAGTTAGTGAGTGCATACATGTTTTTATTTTGTTATTTTTCATACTGGCCCCCCGTGGGAATCGAACCCACAACCCTGGCGTTGCAAACGCCATGCTCTACCAACTGAGCTACATCCCTGCTGGCCATTCCCTCCCCTACCCTGGACGACGCTGGGCCAATTGTGCGCCGCCCCATGGGTCTCCCGGTCACGGCCAGCTACGACAGAGCCTGGATTCGAACCAGGATCTCTAGTGGCACAGCCTTAGACCACTGCGCCACTCGGGAGACCATATTGCCACAAGCACGATTTGGTTGGGTCTAATTGTGTTGTTGTTGTCCTGGGGCTCTGTGGGGTCTGTTTGTGTTTGTGAACAGAGCCCCAGGACCAGCTTACTTAGGGGACTCTTCTCCAAGTTCATCTCTCTGTAGGTGATGGCTTTGTTATGGAAGGCTTGGGAATCGCTTTCTTTTAAGTGGTTATAGAATTTAACGGCTCTTTTCTGGATTTTGATAATTAGCGGGTATTGGCCTAATTCTTCTCTGCATGCATTATTTTGTGTTTTTCGTTGTACACAGAGGATATTTTTGCAGAATTCTGCATGCAGTCTCAATTTGGTGTTTGTCCCATTTTGTGAATTATTGGTTGGTGAGCGGACCCCAGACCTCACAACCATAAAGGGCAATGGGTTCTATAACTGATTCAAGTATTTTTAGCCAAATCCTAATTGCTCTCTCGCTCCCTCTCTCTCTCTCTCTCTCTCTCCCCCTCCATCCCACTCTCTCTCCCCCTCTATCTATCCATCCCTCTCTCTCTCTTCCCCTCTTAGTCCCTCCTGGAGGCCCATGACATGGTAGCCTCTAAGTGCTATGAGGCCGTGCCCCCAGCAGAGCTGTCCAATGAGGCGCTGGTGAACAGTGCTCTGATGCAGGCTGACGCTGTACGCATGATCGGCATCCGCAAGAAGGCTGGAGAACCACTGGTGAGAGAGAAAGGGAGATGGTGGGAGATGGAAGGGGATGGAGAGAGACGGAGGGAGACGAGGGGCACGGAGGGAGACAGTGTGCACATATTAGGTTGTTTGTGCGTGTGTGTGCGAGCGTGTGTGTGTGTGTGTTTCTGCATCTCTGTAATATAATTTCATTGACCTACCGTTCCTTCCTTCTCTCAGGGAGTGACGTTCAGAGTGGAGAAGGAGGAGCTGGTCATCGCTAGGATCCTCCACGGAGGGATGATTGACAGTCAGGGTCTGCTGCACGTGGGTGACATCATAAAGGAAGTGAATGGGCGGGACGTAGGGAACAACCCCACTGAGCTGCAGGAGATGCTGAAGGACTGCAGTGGAGGAATCACTCTGAAGATACTGCCTAGTTATAGAGATGCACCTGCCCCACCACAGGTACACACACACACACACACACACACACACACACACACACACACACAGGAACAAACACATGGATGCAAACGTGTGCCCTCTCTCACATCAAGCATTTATGCTCTCTCTCTCTTTCAATTCAATTTCAATTCAATTTAAGGGCTTTATTGGCATGGGAAACATATGTTAACATTGCCAAAGCAAGTGAAGTAGATAATAAACAAAAGTGAAATAAACAATACAAATTAACAGTAAACATTACACTCAAAAGTTCCAAAAGAATAAAGACATTTCAAACGTAATATTATGGAAAATAAGTCAACATAAATATAGGTTGTATTTACAATGGTATTTGTTCTTCACTGGTTGCCCTTTTCTTGTGGCAACAGGTCACAAATCTTGTTGCTGCGATGGCACACTGTGGTATTTCACCCAATAGATATGGGAGTTTATCAAAATTGGGTTTGTTTTTGAATTCTTTGTGTGTCTGTGTAATCTGAGGGAAATATGTCTCTAATATGGTCATACATTTGGCAGGAGGTTAGTAAGTGCAGCTCAGTTTCCACCTAATTTTGTGGGCAGTGGGCACATAGCCTGTCTTCTCTTGAGAGCCAGGTCTGCTTATTGTGGCCTTTCTCAATAGCAAGGCTATGCTCACTGAATCTGTACATAGTCAAAGCTTTCCTTAAATTTGAGTCAGTCACAGTGGTCAGGTATTCTGCCACTGTGTACTGTCTGTTTAGGGCCAAATAGCATTCTAGTTTGCTCTGTTTTTTTGTTAATTCTTTCCAATGTGTCAAGTAATTATCTTTTTGTTTTCTCATGATTTGGTTGGGTCTAATTGTGTTGCTGTCCTTGGGGTCTGTTTGTGTTTGTGAACAGAGCCCCAGGACCAGCTTGCTTAGGGGACTCTTCTCCAAGTTCATCTGTCTGTAGGTGATGGCTTTGTTATGGAAGGTTTGGGAATCGCTTCCTTTTAGGTGGTTGTAGAATCTGTGTCTCTGTGTCTCTGTGTCTCTGTGTCTCTGTGTCTCTGTGTCTCTCTCTCTCTCTCTCTCTCTCTCTCTCTCTCTCTCTCTCTCTCTCTCGCTCTCTCGCTCTCTCGCTCTCTCGCTCTCTCTTCCCCCCCGCCCCCCAGACTGCTCCTACTTGGCTGGCTGTGTAACATCTGCAGATGTTGGCTGGTGGTGAAGTTAGTCCTGGGGCAGTCCCAGAATGCCCTGCTCTGGAATCTAAACCCTGGCTGGGAGCCCTGTTTATAACTCTCTACATGACATCTGGGCCAGGGACACACTCTCACAGACACGGGCACGTAGACACACACACTCTCACAGATACGCACACAGACACACACATATATACACAAACGCACAGTTACTGCACTCTGGCATGCTTGCTCACATACACATATGCACTGTACACACACTCACATCTAAGATTTCCCTGACCCATGCTCTACATCTAGTGCACACACACATGCTGCTCATGCTGAACAGACACACACCCACACTGTACACCCTCACACACCATTTCAAATGTCACACACACATCCAGTCCGGATCTTGTTTCAGTGTTTCCGTCTGGCAGTGTAAGCTGAGACAGTGCTCAGACCATGTACCTCTCCTGGCAAATACCACTGTTGGTGTGAACATCTGTGGTCTGTCCTGCACTAGATATATCCCATATAGTGTGTGTGTGTGAACAGCATGACCTTCACCCCAATACATTCCAGTGCATGTGTGTACAATATACAGTGCATTGGGAAAGTATTCAGACCCCTTGACCTTTTCCACATTTTGTTATGTTACAGCCGTATTCTAAGATGGATTCAATTGTTTTTCCCCCTCATCAATCTGCATACAATACCCCATAATGACAAAGCATAAACAGGTTTTTAGATTTCTTTTTATATATACTGTATATATATATTTTTTAAAAACGTAAATATGACATTTACATAAGTATACAGACCCTTTACTCAGTACTTTGTTGAAGCACCTTTGACAGCGATTACAGCCTCTAGTCTTCTTGGGTATGACGCTACAAGCTTGGCACACCTGTATTTGGGGATATTCACCCATTCTTCTCTGCAGATCCTCTCAAGCTCTGTCAGGTTGGATGGGGAGCGTCACTGCACAGCTATTTTCAGGTCTCTCCAGAGATGTTCGATCAGGTTCAAGTCCGGGCTCTGGCTGGGCCACTCAAGGACATTCAGAGACTTGTCTCGAAGCATTTTACATTTACATTTTAGTCATTTAGCAGACGCTCTTATCCAGAGCGACTTTACAGTTAGTGAGAGCATACATTTTTTTTCATACTGGCCCCCCGTGGGAATTGAACCCACAACCCTGGTGTTGCAAGCGCCATGCTCTACCAACTGAGCTACACGAAGCCACTCCTGCGTTGTCTTGGCTTTGTGCTTAGGGTCGCTGTCCTGTTGAAAGGTGAACCTTCGCCCCAGTCTGAGGTCCTGAGCGCTCTGGAGCATGTTTTCATCAAGGATCTCTCCGTACTTTGCTCCGTTCATCTTTCCCAAGATCCTGACTAGTCTCCCAGTCCCTGCCGCTGAAAACATCCCCACAGCATGATGCTGCCACCACCATGCTTCACCGTAGGGATGGTGCCTGGTTTCCTCCAGACGTGACGCTTGGCATTCAGGCCAAAGAGTTTAATCTTGGTTTCATCAGACCAAAGAATCTTGTTTCTTGTGGTCTGAGAGTCCTTTGGGTGCCTTTTGGCAAACTCTAAGCGGACTGTCATGTGCCTTTTACTGAGGAGTGGCTTCCATCTGGCCACTCTACCATAAAGGCCTGATTGGTGGAGTGCTGCAGAGATTGTTGTCCTTCTGGAAGGTTCTCCCATCTCCACAGTGGAACTCTGGAGCTCTGTCAGAGTGACCATCGGGTTCTTGGTCACCTCCCTGACCAAGGCCCTTCTCCCCCGATTGCTCAGTTTGGCTGGGCGGCCAGCTCTAAGAAGAGTCTTGGTGGTTCCAAACTTCTTCCATTTAAGAATGATGGAGGCCACTGTGTTCTTGGGGACCTTCAATGCTGCAGAAGTCTTTTGGTACCCTTCCCCAGATCTGTTCCTCGACACAATCCTGTCTCGGAGCTCTATGAACAATTCCTTCGACCTCATGGCTTGGTTTTTGCTGTGACATGCACTGGCAACTGTGGGACTTTCCAAATCATATCCAATCAATTGAATTTACCACAGGTGGACTCCAATCAAGTTGTAGAAACATCTCAAGGATGATCAATGGAAACAGGATGCACCTGGGCTCAATTTCGAGTGTCATAGCAAAGGGTCTGAATACTTAAGGTATTTCTGTTTATTAATCTTTAATACATTTGCAAAAAATTCTAAAAACCTGTTTTCGCTTTGTCATTATGGGTTATTGTGTGTAGATTGATGAGGATTTGTTTTTATTTAATCCATTTTAGAATAAGGCAGTAACGTAACAAAATGTTGAAAAAGGGAAGGGGTCTGAATGCTTTCCGAAGGCAGTGTATACATGCACTTAAAGGGGGCAGAACTCACCGATTTTTACCTGGACTTTTCTGCGGCTCATTAAGAAAAACCAGATTTGCGTCTTGTGGGTGTGGTTTGATGTGTGGGTGTGGTTTGATGTGTGGGTGTGGTTTGATGTGTGGGTGTGGTTTGGTGTGGTTTGATGTGGGTGTGGTTTGATGTGTGGGTGTGGTTTGATCTTTATATCATATCCTGGCAGTTATTGTTGTTTGTCCCTCTTAAGTCATAGCAACTACAAAGCCACTACCACTTCCTTAAAATAGTCAGAATTAATCTAAAATAAATCAAGAAATCTAATAAATGTTAACATTTTTGCCAAGGAGGCCTTAGTCATGCAATTTTACATCTAACTAGTTTGGTGCAGTATTTCTCAAGTAAAAACATGTGCATGAAAATTGTCTGTATGCACTGCAGACAGTATCGAGTCAGCTTCTGCTGGCTACACTCACGACTGTTTTCTGAAAACGTGTATACAACTTCATCATCAGCAAACTGTCAAACTATTGTAAATCATGCACAAGCTACACACTGTTTATCAGTGCCCAAAATCACTAGCTAGCTAAGTTCCATCTATGTGTTTGTCAATGAAGTTAGCTAGCAGGCACATTGAGCCAGCAGGCCACGTTAGCTAAATCAGCTTATCAAGTCACTGGCGAGTGGTGACGTGTGCTTCGGTGCCGTTTTGTTTTACAACTTTCTCACTATTTATTACCAGGGTGTGCGTCTTTCTGTTTCATAGTGAATCATGTTACAAAACAGGTCGTGGCAGGACACAAGAATTTCCCAATTGGCAGTTGGGATGCAAGTGCGCATCGTCTCAATTTGTCCAAAACAGTGGCAGACTCTAGTGATCACTATCAAACACATCAACAAGTGGCCACGCCGTAAAGGGCTTAGGGTCCAAGTGTTCTTTCAACACAACATTGGCGACGTGTTGTCTTACGTTAACAAGTCCGAGTCTGAGGTGCTCCGATTGGATAGAGCGCAATCAGCGCAGCTGTTTCTCAGTGCATGACCATTGTCCCTAGGCGTTACAATCCCAAGTTAGTGGGCAAGTGGGCATGATTGTAATCCAAACCCAACCCTCATGTAGGCTCTCACTGGGTACACACTGGTTGAATCAACGTTGTTTCCACGTCATTTCAATGAAATGACGTTGAACAAACATGGAATAGACATTGAATTGACGTCTGTGCCCAGTGGGCTAAGTCTTGACTACCTCAGTTACACAGATCTCACAAAACTCAGTTTTGGAATATACTGACTTTGGAATGTACTGACCCCAATGATCTTACATTTTTTTTGTAAATTTTGGCACTGAAATAAATGTTTCTGACTAATATCTATGCCACATTGGCCGTTTTCAACCTGAGAAGTTGGTTTTTGCTTTCAGTTGCCCTTTAATGCTGTTTTAAACCAAAACTTCAGTCTAATCTCTAACACTTCTTCAAAACGCAAATCATTACACCAACATTATCTACCTAGCTGTTGTACATAGAGAGAGACAGATTTACTTGATTTAGTTTTAGTTTGGTTGTAGAAGCACCATTGATTACCATCAAACCTCTCTTTTCTCAGGTGTACGTACAGCCACACTTTGACTACGATCCAGCCAATGACCATCTGATCCCGTGTCGAGAGGCGGGGATTGGCTTCAAGAGGGGGGACCTCCTTCAGATCGTCAACAGAGAGGACCCCAACTGGTGGCAGGTGATGATGATGATGATGATGATGATGACGTGTTTCTAGAGGACATTCTCCTCCACAGCTTTTACACATCCACCTACAGACTACATCCTCAACAACATCAAGAAACTGTTTTTATGCACTGGTTTTTAATGTTGTCTACTGGTTGTTCACTGTACTCTAATGGTTTGTACTGGTCTCTACTGGTTGGTTTTGTATTGGTTTCTATAAATAGTAAATAAGATGTTTTATTGTCACATACACTGGACAGGTGCAGTGAAATGTGTTGTTTTACATGGTCAGTCATAGTAGTAGTACAGCATCCCTGGAGCAAATAAGGGTTAAGTGCCTTGCTCAAGAGCACATGGACAGACTTTTCGGCTCGGGTTTTCGAACCAGCGGCTCCCTGGTTTTACTAGTTTCTACTGATTGTATACTGATTTCTACTGGTTGTATACGGATTTCTATTGGTTGAGTGAGACAGTGATTCTGTCGTCTGATGTGCTCTGTCCTGTGCTAGGCATGTCATGTGGTTGGTGGAGCCACTGGACTGATCCCCAGTCAGTTTCTGGAGGAGAAGAGGAAAGCCTTCGTCCCACGAGACTTTGACGGCTCAGGTAGGCTTTACTTTGCCTCTTCACTCCATTCTCTGCAAGATTTGCTAAACTGACAAAAGACTTCAACCAACCAAGTCATAGACTGTTCTGTCTGCTACCACTTGGCAAGCTGTACCGGAGCACCAAGTCTGGGACCAAAAGGCTCCTGAACAGGGCACCAAGTCTGGGACCAAAAGGCTCCTGAACAGAGCACCAAGTCTGGGACCAAAAGGCTCCTGAATAGCTTCTACCCCCAAGCCATAAGACTGCTGAACAGTTCATCAAATGGCCACCCTGACTATTTGCATTGACCCCCTTTTTATTTGCACTGACTATCTTGTACCAACTCTCTATTAACACTCACTGGACTCTACCCACACACTCACACATACTTACACTGATACTCCAACACACACACACACACACACACACACACACACACACACACACACACACACACACACACACACACACACACACTACATACGTTCACACACACACACACACATGCATATTGACGCCACACACACACACACATAGACACACTTTCACACTCTTTCACACTCTTCACCATACACTGCTGCTACTCTGTTTATTATCTATCCTGATTGCTCAGTCACTTTTACTTTTACCCCTACCTACATGTACTATACCACCTCGTACTCGGTACCAGTACTCCTTGTATATAGTCTCTTTATTGTTATTTTATTGTGTTACTGTCTATTTAAAAATGTGTTGCACATTTTTCGTAATTTTTAATTCTGCATTGTTGGGAAAGGGCTCGTAAATAAACATTTCACGATAAAGTCTACACCTGTTGTATTCGCCGCATGTGATAAATACAATTTGATTTGAACCGAGCTGACTGGCTCATGCTCTGAGCAACTTTGAGAGGACCTTTTCCATAATGCATCCATGACAGTGGAGAGTACTTACTTGAAATAGTTTAGTTTGTCTTTACACTGTTAGGTAGCCTTGCCTGCCAGGCTGAGGCCAGCCAATGAGGTCATGAGATAATGATTTAATAGATTGTTACCTTAGAATGGGTTGAGCATGCCCCCTTGTGGCCTTCAGATTCAAAGTCAGATAGGGAAGACTTGCTTGCACTTGTATTGTGTGTTTATGTGTGTACTGATGTGTGTGTTAATGTGTGTATTGATGTGTGTTTAGGTGTGTATTGATGTGTGTTTATGTCTTTATTGATGTGTGTATTGATGTGTGTTTATGTGTATATGTATGTTTTTAGGTGTGTATTGATGTGTATTTATGTGTGCATTGATGTTTGTATTGGTGTGTGTATAGATGTATGTTGATATGCATTGTTGTGTATTGATGTGTGCATTGATGTGTGTATGGTTGTGTATTGATATGTATTTATGTGTATTGATGTGTGTATTGATGTGTGTATTGATGTGTATTGATGTTTGTACTGATGTTTATGTGTATTGATGTTTGTGTTGATGTGTGTCAACAGGGATCCTGTGCGGTACGATAACTGGAAAGAAAAAGAAGAAAATGATGTACCTAACAGCCAGGAACGCAGGTAAGCATTCATACCTGTCTCTCATTGGCTAAATCTGTCATGGCTCATTCTTGTCATTGGTTGTTTGTGCTGGGGCTCACTCTTTTACTTCCTGACTGTGTAGTTCCCCATTTACTGATCAGCGGTTTATGTCCACATTCCCTTCCCTCATTGACTGACAACTCTACATTCTCCTGTCTGATTTGCTAACTCTTCTGTGTTCCTCTCTGTGATTGGCTGAGGGCAGAGTTTGACAGGTATGAGCTGCAGATCTATGAGGAGGTGGCCAAGATGCCCCCGTTCCAGAGGAAGACCCTGGTTCTGATTGGAGCCCAGGGAGTGGGCCGCCGTAGCCTCAAGAACCGACTGGTGGTCCTCAACCCAACACGCTTCGGAACCACCATCCCCTGTGAGTCTGGAACCCATACTGTTCTAATTCTATTTCTATGCTAGAACCCCCTCCCCCTCCAGAACCTAATGGACCACTGTACGCTCAGTACTCTCTGTCAGAACAGACAGAAACCCAATAGAACGTTTCATTTGAATGCTTTAAGTCAGACTGACTTGTGAGCTTCCCCCAATTCTCCACTCTGCTCTTCTCTCATTCATGTGCATTCTCTGTCTTCTCTTATCTCTCCTCCCTCTCTCTTCTCTTATCTCTCCTCCCTCTCTCTTCTCTTATCTCTCCTCCCTCTCTCTTCTCTTCTCTCTAACTCTCTCTCTGTTCTTGTCGCTCCTCTCCTCCACCCACTGCTCCTCCCTCAGTCACCTCCCGTCGTCCCCGTGACGATGAGCTGGATGGTAACTCATACCAGTTCGTGACGCGGACGGAGATGGAGGCGGACGTGAAGGCGGGCCGTTACCTGGAGCACGGGGAGTACGACGGGAACCTCTACGGAACCAAGATGGACTCCATCCATGAGGTGGTGGACACGGGCCGCACCTGCATCCTGGACGTCAACCCACAGGTCACAATCAAATCAAACTTTGTAGTGCATTTAAAAAGTGCAACATAGTTTTACTGTAAAACAACACCTTTCAACTACAGACAGAATCCTAGTATGAGATACTGTACATGATATGTGTCTGTCTGCCTGTCTGTCTGTGGATGTCTGCCTGTCTGTCTGTGTGGATGTCTGCCTGCCAGCCTGCCTGCCTGTGGATGTCTGTCTGTCAGTCTGTGGATGTCTGTCTGTGGATGTCTGTGGATGTCTGTCTGCCTGTCTTTGTCACCTTTAGCTGGTTCACTGACCCTCTCTCTGTCTGGACTGTAGGCTCTGAAGGTACTAAAGACAGCAGAGTTCATGCCGTATGTGGTGTTCATCGCAGCACCAGAGTTTGAGACGCTCAAGGCCATGCACAAAGCTACGGTGGACGCCGGAATCACCACCAAACAACTCACGGTCAGGACCTTTTCCTGGGCATAGACACTGAGCCACTTATTCCTAGAGTATTTTCACATGTTGCTTTCTGGTATCCTTCCATTGTAAAGTGATTTTAGGTCGTAATGCAGGTTTTTCTGGAACATTCTCTCGCTAGAACACACAACACTCACATAGTGTACTTGTTACCCATACTGCATCACAGTAAGGTTCACACATAGAGACAAAGGCACACACTCACCCTCTGTCTCTGTCCCTGTCAGGATGTGGATCTGAGGAAGACTGTTGATGAGAGTGCTCGTATCCAGAGGGCCTACAACCACTACTTCGACCTCACCATCACCAACGACAACCTGGACCGCGCCTTCGAGATGCTACAGGCTGCCGTCGACAAACTCTGCTCCGAACCACAGTGGGTCCCCATCAACTGGGTCTACTGAACCCCAACCGGACACTGTCTGACTGGATCAACTTGACTGTGTGTGTGTGTGTGCTCCACCACCGAGGCGGGGGAAAGGACAGGAGAAAGGGGGTTTGTCATCTGAGGTACTTTGACGTGGGGGAAGCCAACCAACTAAACCAACCGCCTCCTCTCTCCCTACTTCCTGCAAACAATGCAACTCTTTTCTACTAGAAACTCAAAGGGAAAGAGTTCTTATATATTTTAGTATTTTGTAACTTTTTACGAAAGATATTTCTATTCATACCAACTTGGAATTCAAAAACATGAAAAAATAAACATTTTGGCCATATTTTTTTATTTATTTGTTGTTGTTTGTTTTTTTGTAGTTGTTCCCCCGAGAACGAATTCTGTTTTTTTTTCTTCTTCTCCGTGGACTGCTCTAGAAAGAGTATTTATTATTGCTATATCAACACAGGTCAAGAATGAAGATGAGACACTATGGAATATTCCAGAACTCTGAACAGTGTTGCCAAGGAAACCTGTTTACGGTGCATGTCATTGCCATGACAACTAGTGTCTCAGACCGAATCCTGTGGACCTTCCTTGTGTGATTGTCGTAGACCCCCCCTCCAAATATCCTACAGTGTACTGTAGTAGGCTACCCCCTGATCTGCTTGTATTTACCTCTTTAGAATTGTGACCTCAGCAAAAATGATCTTGTCTGAATATCTATCCCTCACATCCTACAAAGAGAATGAAAGGAAAATAACTTTACGCTTTACATTGTGCTTTGATCCTGATATTCAATAGTACATTGTCTGTGTTTCACTGTGTTTCTTTCTTTGAGTTTTTATTTTATTACCGTAGGATTCACTGTCTTTCGTTGCTATGATGATACTTTTTAGCTTAGTGACATTTCTTGTCTCCTGTGATCTTTGCTTTGTGTTGTTTTCTATATTGAACAGACTACATCCTGTTTTTACCACTCACCATCTACCCTGATCTGTATGTAAGGTGTTGTGTTTTTTAAAATCTGTTGATGTGGCACAAAACATTGCTATCCCACAGTCCTCTCCTCCAGTGTCACAAAGCGCCAAAGCCCTCCTGTGCTGTAACCCAAATACTACATTCTGACTGTTTTCTGTGGTCATTCTGAAAGACGTCCCAACTTGTGTCCAACAACAGACTTGTGTTTTGAAACACATCTCTAATAGCAATACATTGTTACATTAAATTTACAGAAATTCATCTGGAAAGTTTTTGTCCATTGTTGTTTTGGGTGATGGCTATGTTTAGTTAATATTTAATGAGATCATATTTAAAGCCATTTAGAGACAATGGATGGTTCATAAATATACAGTATATTTGATTAAAAACACAGAATGCATAGTTTTGTGGCAGCATTGCAACTATGTAGAATTGTGAAATGACTAAATGCAACATATTGATATACAGTGGGGAAAAAAAAGTATTTAGTCAGCCACCAATTGTGCAAGTTCTCCCACTTAAAAAGATGAGAGAGGCCTATAATTTTCATCATAGGTACACGTCAACTATGACAGACAAATTGAGGAAAAAAAATCCAGAAAATCACATTGTAGGATTTTTAATGAATTTATTTGCAAATTATGGTGGAAAATAAGTATTTGGTCACCTAGAAACAAGCAAGATTTCTGGCTCTCACAGACCTGTAACTTCTTCTTTAAGAGGCTCCTCTGTCCTCCACTCGTTACCTGTATTAATGGCACCTGTTTGAACTTGTTATCAGTATAAAAGACACCTGTCCACAACCTCAAACAGTCACACTCCAAACTCCACTATGGCCAAGACCAAAGAGCTGTCAAAGGACACCAGAAACAAAATTGTAGACCTGCACCAGGCTGGGAAGACTGAATCTGCAATAGGTAAGCAGCTTGGTTTGAAGAAATCAACTGTGGGAGCAATTATTAGGAAATGGAAGACTTACAAGACCACTGATAATCTCCCTCGATCTGGGGCTCCACGCAAGATCTCACCCCGTGAGATCTCACCTACATTGTAGGATTTTTAATGAATTTATTTGCAAATTTGGGTGGAAAATAAGTATTTGGTCAATAAAAGTTTTGTCAATACTTTGTTATATGCCCTTTGTTGGCAATGACACAGGTCAAACGTTTTCTGTAAGTCTTCACAAGGTTTTCACACACTGTTGCTGGTATTTTGGCCCATTCCTCCATGCAGATCTCCTCTAGAGCAGTGATGTTTTGGGGCTGTCGCTGGGCAACACGGACTTTCAACTCCCTCCAAAGATTTTCTATGGGGTTGAGATCTGGAGACTGGCTAGGCCACTCCAGGACCTTGAAATGCTTCTTACGAAGCCACTCCTTCGTTGCCCGGGCGGTGTGTTTGGGATCATTGTCATGCTGAAAGACCCAGCCACGTTTCATCTTCAATGCCCTTGCTGATGGAAGGAGGTTTTCACTCAAAATCTCACGATACATGGCCCCATTCATTCTTTCCTTTACACGGATCAGTCGTCCTGGTCCCTTTGCAGAAAAACAGCCCCAAAGCATGATGTTTCCACCCCCATGCTTCACAGTAGGTATGGTGTTATTTGGATGCAACTCAGCATTCTTTGTCCTCCAAACACGACGAGTTGAGTTTTTACCAAAAAGTTATATTTTGGTTTCATCTGACCATATGACATTCTCCCAATCCTCTTCTGGATCATCCAAATGCACTCTAGCAAACTTCAGACGGGCCTGGACATGTACTGGCTTAAGCAGGGGGACACGTCTTGCACTGCAGGACTTGAGTCCCTGGCGGCGTAGTGTGTTACTGATGGTAGGCTTTGTTACTTTGGTCCCAGCTCTCTGCAGGTCATTCACTAGGTCCCCCCGTGTGGTTCTGGGATTTTTGCTCACCGTTCTTGTGATCATTTTGACACCACGGGGTGAGATCTTGCGTGGAGCCCCAGATCGAGGGAGATTATCAGTGGTGTTGTATGTCTTCCATTTCCTAATAATTGCTCCCACAGTTGATTTCTTCAAACCAAGCTGCTTACCTATTGCAGATTCAGTCTTCCCAGCCTGGTGCAGGTCTACAATTTTGTTTCTGGTGTCCTTTGACAGCTCTTTGGTCTTGGCCATAGTGGAGTTTGGAGTGTGACTGTTTGAGGTTGTGGACAGGTGTCTTTTATACTGATAACAAGTTCAAACAGGTGCCATTAATACAGGTAACGAGTGGAGGACAGAGGAGCCTCTTAAAGAAGAAGTTACAGGTCTGTGAGAGCCAGAAATCTTGCTTGTTTCTAGGTGACCAAATACTTATTTTCCACCATAATTTGCAAATAAATTCATTAAAAATCCTACAATGTGATTTTCTGGATTTTTTTTCCTCAATTTGTCTGTCATAGTTGACGTGTACCTATGATGAAAATTATAGGCCTCTCTCATCTTTTTAAGTGGGAGAACTTGCACAATTGGTGGCTGACTAAATACTTTTTTCCCCCACTGTATATTTAAAAAGCATGATAATCTAACACAAATAGCAATATGCTATGACTTGATCTCTTACAGATATACAGGTAACTGCCAAAATAATATAAACATTTGAGTAAATGAGGGATACAAAGTATATTGAAAGCAGTTGTTTCCACACAGGTGTGGTTCCTGAGTTAATTAAGCAATTAACATCCCATCATACTGTATACAAATGTTGGATATTATTTTGGCTACCATGGCTATGCCCCCATAGGATGACAATGCCCCCATCAATAGGGCACAAGTGGTCATTGAATGGTTTGTTGAGCATGAAAACGATGTAAACCATATGCCATGGCCGTCTCAGCCACCAGATCTCAACCCAATTGAACACTTATGGAAAATTCTGGAGCGGCGCCTGAGACAGCGTTTTCCACCACCACCAACAAAACACCAAATTATGGAATTTCTCATGGAAGAATGGTGTTGCATCCCTCCGATAGAGTTTCAGACACGTGTAGAATCTATGCCAAGGTGCATTGAAGCTGTTCTGGTTCGTGGTGGACCAACGCTGTATTAAGACACTTTATGTTGGGGTTTCCTTTATTTAGGCAGTACCTGTATCTACAGTTGAAGTCGGAAGTTTACATACACCTTAGCCAAATACATTTCAACTCAGTTTTTCACAATTCCTGACATTTAATCCTAGTAAAAATTCTCTGGACTCTGCATGATCATAGAACTAGTGAAGGAAGAAGGTTCATGCATCGTCACACAGTCTACACCAACGGAGGTATGGATAGAGGGGAGATTGAACAGGTATCATGTCAACCACTGCAACAGATTGCTACGAGGAAACTGACGATCTAGAGATGAGGGAGATGAGGATGCTGTTGATGACAATTATCAGGTGATGGAAGACGATGTCAGAGTAATGATACTGATGAGCTGTGGATTATGGCTGATTACCTCAGTGGAGGCACAGAGCTATAGACCTCCAAGAATTTCAAGATCTTCCAGATTTTCAGGAATCGACTGTCATTCCATTCAGTTATATGTATTTAAAGGGTTTATCTAATAGAAATGGGGAAGTATATTAGAGCAATTGGTATTAGGAATAATTGTGAAACATAATAATTTGTCACATGGTCAATGATTGTTTGGATTTATTGGAGTAGAAATGTAATCAATTAAACTGTTATGTTTGTCTTCCAGTGAGGTAAATACAGATGGTGTCTTGATGCATAGCAGGGATAATTTGGACTAGCATGGTGTGAACCTAAATAAATAAAATTAACAAACTATGAACAGGCTGAAGATGAATATCAGAGGCGTTGAAGACGTTTTTGTAAAATACCACTTCTGCATGCAACTGGTCTACAACAAACAATCGAAGATATCAAAGGATTTTCTCATGTCATTATCTCGAAGGAGTGGGAAAGGAGTCGACCATTGAGTGAGACTGGAGAAAGATATGTTCAAATGCAACATTTTTTTATGATGTGGGCATAATGGTTGGCAAATGGACAAGACAATGAGGTTGTGGAGTTGGTGGTGACTCGAATGAGACATTGTAGTTGTGACGTTGTCATGGGCAAGTCATTTGGAAATGTGAAGATGTCTGAAGAACATAATGAAGAGACGCCAGAAGATTTAAGTGCCGGGAGAAAAAGGGGTTGCTTAGCTGTATTGATAATAAAATTGGGTTTATCTAAATTTGATAATTTGGGTAGTAGGTATATACACTGCTAAATTAATAGTATTAAGAATGCATTGAGATAATGATCTGTATTTATTATCAGGATGAGGAAAGTCATAATTGAATTATGGATGTTTATACTGTATGTTAATATAAGTGTACATTCTGACAGTTGTAATGGGTGATAAAGTTGAGGGTTTTAATTTTCATTGATAAGGATAAAGTGAATCAATAAGGATTGTCATTTTAAATTTGGTTGAGTTAAGTAATTTGGTTGGTTATAATTTATAAGATGAATGAGTGATTTAAGTGAATCATTAGTATGTATTAGTATAGAACTGTTTTATGTAGATATTATGGGCTTAAAACAGTCATACATTATGGTAATGTCTTAGGATACACTTATATGATTTATTTTGAGTAGACATTTTTGGATCATACTGTTTGAAACATGGAAGTTAATATGAGGATTGTGACTGAAATCATGAATATGTTGATTCATTTGGTTAAAGTATTAACATATTAGTCATTAGGGACATTTGAAGTATTGGGTGGTACATATCTATGATGTTAGGCAAGGACTTACTTGGTTCTTATCATAGGGTTATGGTAGTTGATATATTGGAATGTTTAGCCTATTTTCATCTGATCTGAATTTGGTTTAATTTTTGATATGACTAGGTCAGGGATGTAGTGATTTATCAATGGATGTAAACAGAGTGTTATACTGTGTATGTCTTCTAAGGCATTTTAGGAGAACAAAGTCAGTGTTTAACATTGTATCTATTAACAATCATGAGTTTAAGCAATTAAGTATGAAATGTCACTTATTGGAAACTATGCAATTGATAATCGCATAAGCATTGGATGTTATTAAAGTAGATAAAAGGGAAAAATATGTGATAATAGGGGGATACGTGTTGTACTTATTTAAAATCAGATTAGTAAGGTGTTGGGAAGTTGATTAAATATATGGGTAATATTAGAGACATACAGGAAGACATTTAGAGTAAGAATAGAGATGCAAAGATTGTGAGAAGATATGGTAATTTGTAAGGTTGTTGTAGTGCTAATTCCATAGGAACATGGATGGAAAGCATTCTAGGTACCTAGTGGTCATAGTAATTAGTATAGATGTAGTGATGGGTTGTTGTTTGACCATTTTAAGGGGATTGATTTGGAGATCTGTACAAGCGATTAATAAAAGGACAGTGATTACAGATAGAGATGTATCAGTTAATATTAATGCAAATAGGGAGAGTAATAATTTTGTATCTATATAATTTTATTACAATGTAGAGGCCATTTATCATGTTAAGTGGAATTTAAGGTTTACAGGTTTGAAGATGTGGAAACAAGTATATCTAAGTCGTTCAGATAGCGCCCCATGTGACCAGGGAAAAGCTTGGGGTTCATCTGAGTGAACATGGA